CATGACGAACGCCTCGATCAGGAGGTAGGCCCATAGGCGGGTCCTTCGAGACAACGTCTCCGAACTCCACTACCAACGGGTACAACGGATCTGACGGATCCTTCAAGATGGCTGAGCCACTACGTTTATTAAGCGCCTGCTTAGTGTCCTCCAGGACCGCTTCGTCCAATAGTGACGACGAGTTTAACTCTTCTTCTGGTCGTATCATGACCACTTCGGCTAGATCGCCCGCCTTTAAGGCCTCGCCAAACTCGGCGACAGACATCTCCTCAAGCTCGAGGAGAGCACTCACGGAGGGAAGAGCTTCAAGGCTGATGTCACCATTGACGTCTCCCGTCAGCCCATTCACCAGCGTGTATAGCTGCTCGCAGCACTCGCGTGGAGCTTCATCGCTCGACACGCTCGACGCCGCAGACGCTCTGCGTCTCTTCCTCCTCCTCCTCCGCGCCCGAGGCCGAGAGAATGAGGGCGACGTGGCGGCAGCGTCGTCACCACATCCAGGCGACAACGCGCCTCCGTCCATCGTGGACGCCAGCGAGGAATCGCCAAAACGGCAATCCTTGGTCATGAAAGCACCAGGCGAGACACGCTCCGCCTTGTCCCCCGCAGGGCCATGCCCAACGGGCCGCGACAAACCGTCGCCGAGCGTCGAACGCCCCAAAGTCGATGGAGTACGTGCCATCCCACGCGCACGAGGGGAGCCGAACTCCGAGACCGTCGCCAGGCGTTAAACGCCCCTGAACCAGCGGAGTACGTGCCGCCCCACAAACGTCCGACGAGCGGTGCTCGGGACCGGCCGACGTATACGAAATTGCGCCCACTCCGGGAAGTGCTTCTCCAACAACGGCGTTGTCGACCAACTCGGACACGCCGATGTACAGCACAGCGACCGACTCGGTCCAGTGCTCGCGCCAAAAGCGCTTCTGTGTCCTGGCAGAGGTGGGTTCATGACTCGCCAAAGCCCCACCAGGAGAGAAGTGCGTAGCACCTAATGTTTTCGACCTCCAGTCGATCCAAGGCTCATGGCGTTCCAGCCACGCCATGCCAAGGATGAGGTCATACCTTGAATCCAGGTCCAAGACCAAACAGCGTTCCGTGCTGTCAAAGTCAAGGAACTTGACGCCCAAGTATATGGGGACCTTGGGCACCGTGACACGAGTGCCCGTCGCCAAACGGACAGTGACTATGTCACGAGAACGCGCGCGAAGCGCCACAGCATATAACTCGCTGCCCTCCATGGAGGAACGCCTGGCGTAATTGCCAGACGCCCCCGAATCAATCAAGATCGTCCACGGCTTCTCGAAGCCCTTCACAGTCGCAATGACGACCAGCAAGCCCGGCTTGCATTTACGTTCCGTGTTTGAGAGTACGTCTCTCTTCGGGACTAGACTCCGTTGTCCTCCTCCTCCCTGAGGCACTACAGAACCTAGTTCTTCCCCAGTAGGCCGCCCCGCGCCTACTGGGAGTCGCCGTTTCCCCGCGACGAACCAGCCTTGTGGCTCAAAGCGGGGCCGCTCGAACAACCAGATTGCTGTTTGCGCAGCGGGCAACCCGGCCGCAAGTGCTCGGTGCTGCCGCAGGTGTAGCAACGGCGGATACCGCGGCGCTGCTCAGCGGCCCGAAGCTCGACTTCGTCACTTTCAGCGTAGCTGAGGTCCATAGGTTCAGGACCGCTCGACGTACTCGCCTGTGGCGCGCTCCAGTCGACGCGAGCGGACTTGATATTGTGCTCGGCGTTCAACGCCACGGCCACAGCTTCCTCGAACGAGGTAGGACGACTTCGGAACACTTCCGTGCGAGCCACTCCGGTCCTGAGACCATCCATAAACACCGTGACGGTGACAGACTCAGGCAGCGGTTCAGCGAACATGCCGGCGATGAGCGTGCGTAGCTCCTGGACGTAGTCCACCAAGTCCTTTTTCCCCTGACGGCAAGCCAGGAACTTGGACCGCACGCGGTATGCGTGGTTCGGCGGCGAGAACACTCGTGAGAGCTGTCACTTCAGCTCATCCCATGTCGGGAAGGCTCGGTCTACCGACGACCCGCTGGTAAGCGCCCACTCACGAGCTCTTCCGCTGAGCTTAGAGATGGCAAGCGCGACGCGCTGGTGCTCCGATTGAAGCAGGGCAGAGCCCATGGCCATTTCGATCTCGCGGATCCAGAGCAGGAGATTCTCCCCCTCCAGACCCTCGAACGACTTCACACTCAGCATCAGTGGCTTGGGTCGAGTCGATCCGGCTTGCGACGCGGCCGACGCCGCTGCAGGCGCCGTCGCGCTCATCCTCTGCTGGATGTGCTCCAACAGAGCATTCTCGTAACTTGAGAACGCCTCGAGACGCGCGTTGATCGCGTCCGGGCCTTGCGAGGCAAGGTGCGCCACGCCCTCCGGGCCCAACAGAGACATAAGCTTTTTAAGCGCCTCCTGCTGGCCGGGGGCCAAATTCGCGAACGCAGCTTGCTCCATCCTCACAGAGGTACAGTCTAACAGACTCAGGTGAGGGAGTGACTACGAGTGCTACCAAGTGCAGCGGGGCTGCCGTAGCTCCTTGCGTAGAGGAAGAATTTACGACTCAAAGAGTCCAACAGGGTCCTATCCAAGGACCCACGAAAACAAGTCAGAGACTTCTTGCAAAAGGCAAACTGTATTCATTCTCTTATCTGCGGCTCCGCCGTCTACGGTGCAAATACCTGCACTTACTATCGACATAACTAACTCTAGTTCATTCTCAATGACTGGCCAGTGGCCCAGGGAGTAACCCTTGGTGTATCGCACACCAAAAGGGTAACCAAAAGGGTAACCTCCGTGTAACCCCGTTACACTCTTCCTGGTACCCCAACCCGGCAGGCAAGACATGATCGGGCCGTAAAAGCAGTTGAGCCTGTAGAAGCTTTACAGTGCTCAGTCCAAAATTTACTGTCGAGGGTAAAGCAGACCAGAAGCACCATTATCATAGTATACGTTGGCGAAGCTTTGGTGTTCCACTTAACGTTCTGTGTGGACTTCAACTCACTACACTTTGCCGGTATACCTGTGAACCCGACTTGGTGTGTCCTGGGTTTACGAGCTCCAGGCGGGGTGCCTACACCGCTGCCTTCAGCAATCCGCACCCGAAGAACAGTTGCTTGTAACCCTACCGCGGTTGGGACGTATTGTACCATATTTCATTCAGTGTATTATAATATAATATTATTACCTGTACGTGTACGTGTACTATCCCGGAGCTACACGAAAGCCTGCCAAATATAATTGTTTTCTGTAGGTGCTGACAGGGCTGTGGAAATATAGATTGTTTACTAGCCGAGCGCCGCCGCTACGCGGGGGTGATTTTTTGTTAGTCGGCGCTTCGCTCGCAATGCTCGCTGCGCTATAAGAGCAGGCTGCCTACGCTTCGCTAGGGCAGTAGGACCCGTTGCGCTCGCCTCGTCGGCTCGCTGCACTACTCTCAATGTCAGGTTAGTATTACAGAGGCCGGGACGGTTCCTGCGGCCCCGCAATATCCTATGGTGGGGTCGCCTTCGGCGGCGGAGCCGCACGCTCGGCAGCATTTTTAGTCAATCGTAATTCAGGTGATATTCCGTTACGGACGGCGTCTTGCTCCAATTAATGTTTAGGATTCTTAGGATTGATTGACGGCTCAGATCTGGAACAATCAATTATTGCAATCTAAGTTCTCGCTTGTATTTCCTCTGCTACGTTCATATTTTTACTGGTTCGGCGGCGCTATCGCTCTAAGACCTTTGCTTGTGCGATTACATTTGTGTTGAGCTTCAAGAACCTTGGCCAAATGCAATGTTGGGTCTTATATTCATCATGTTGAGCGTGCACCCCATCCAGGCATCCAATGACCCCTCATATCCGCATTTCGAAGCAGCAGAAGACACATAATGGCTTTTTAGGAGCTAGGATCGGTTCCATAGGCTTGCCGTTGCATATTCATCTACCGGATCGCTGGCAAAGGCTCAAAATCAGTATAGGAACAATGTGGGAACGGGATTGCCGATTGAGATCACGGAGCAATTAATTAATGTGATTGACAATCTCGGCAATATTACAATCGCAATCATTTTTTCCACAGCACTTGGTGCTGTATTTCAAAGATCAGCATCATCAACAGTTTCCACCCCTGTTACAAAAAGTGATTCTAATAATTCATAATTCTAATTCCCTATTAATACACTCGCTCTGCGTTGCTTTAGCATACACAGTGTGTGAGCTCTAAGGCCTCACTGAGGACACCAGGGCCACGAAATACCATACAGATACTGCATTTCATACAGGAGACACCTACGACAGAGAAAAAGCGGACAGCTGAAAGAAGCAAGGGTTCGTTTATTCCATGAAAGAAAAGAAAGCAAGCCGAACAGCATGTACAGATGTGCATGCATCGCTCGCGTTGTTGTACAGTAATCTGCTTGCTCAGCGAACAGGTAGAACCTTATACTTTTTGAGAAAGCATGTTTCCCGAATTGTACCACACTTATGGCGATGTATTGTTTTAGTGAACGTGTGGAGTCCCACTGGACCTGTAAATTACGATTCCACCAATCAGCTCTCGTAAAGCGGGAAGATATCCGGGCCTAACTTCAAGGATGCGCGGGAACGATACAGTAGTCGAGTCAACGTGCAAGGAGACCGATGGTCCCAGCGCGGCTACCTACATGTAACGAAGCTGTAAGAGCTACAGATCTCCGCGAGGTAGATACACGTGGAGCTCTGTCTCGCAGTGATTTCGTCTCCACTGGGTGTTGGAAAGCTGTGCGCTTTCCCACGTGCGTGACTGCAAGTTGCTCGTTGACAATGTTGGTTGCTGTTACGGGGCGAGTGCGACGAGGTCGGACGAGGAGGAGAATGCATTAGGCTTAAGAGCTCAGAAGACAAAAAGTTCCAAGCAGTATCGAAGTAACACGACTGAGTTGAGCTGAGGTTAGTAGTTGCTGAAACCTCCGAGACAGATTGAAATAGGGTTATTAGCCCAACTACGTGGGCTGCAGAAGCGCGGATGGAGAGCAAGTTGAAGGAGCCAGACGTTGCGTGGAACAAGGACGGCCGTCCGGTCAACTGGAATGGCCGTGACTGGCCTCTCTACATACGACAGATGATGCTCTATCTGACATGCGTAGAGGTCAAGGAGAACGATTTCCCTCTGGATACTATCTGCGATGGAACGCAAGAGATGCAGGAGAACTGGACTAACGAACAGAAGGCCCGCTTTAAGAGACAGAATACTCTGTTGGCCAAGCTCATATCAAGTTCCCTCTCGTGCACGCTGGCTCACCAAGTAATGAGGTTCAATTCCAAGAGATGTGGGGCTACTTGTCCAAGCGATTTGAAGGACGTGAAAATGCCACGACGAAGTTGTATACCCAGCGGACTCTCCGACAGAAACTCGAGAATGCATCGTGTCGGTACGGCGCTGACGTGGAAAACCATCTATCATACGTGCTATCGCTACGGGAGCAACTGGCCGCACTGGACGCAGATGTTGGTGATGCCTGGATGGTTGACATTTTGGTGCGCTCAATGTCACAGTTTGAGTATTACCAGGAGTTGCACACTCTCACTCTTCTTGGCAGTGATCAAATGACCACGCCGCTTGGTGCTAGGGCCATGATTATAACTCTTGAACGGAATGCCGCCCTGGAGCGAGAGCAGAAGAAGTTCAACGGAGATCCCACCACCAAGAGAGAAGGTCGCGGAGGTGGCGTGAACTCAAGCTTTGTGGGGAAGAAGCGAGTAGCACATGACCACGCAACCGACTCAGGCCAACAAATGTAAAAGAGGAAGAGACTGACGAGTGATATAGCCTCGCAGCGACAGAAGGACAGAGCGGAGGGTGCCTGTTTTCTTTGTCATGAAACAGGGCATCGTAAATTTGAATGTCCGGACGCCGAGAGTGGAGAGCCGACCCAAATGCGCATCAGAAACCCAAATCCTGCTCACGCTAAATTTACTGCGGAGGCTCATGCCGCCAGACCGAAACCAGATCCGCGACGGACTACGGTTCGAGCTCGGAACCAGGGTGACGAAAGACCCCTGTGGTATAGCAGTACACACAAAATCGTCAGTTGTGGTAACTTGGCTACAAACACAACAATAGCCGAGCTGGTCGGCTTTGTTGTGTGGTGTAGGGAACATCAAGTTTTGTGTCTCACTCCAAGGCCGCAGTGGAACAACGTACCAGGAGCCAAGTTCTACTCGGCGGGATGACCGTCCGCCGAGCTCAGCGGGCAAGAATGCGCTGATGGACCGCTGAACTCGGCTGATGGTGTCAGAAACTCAAGGCACACCGGCCCCGACCTGGTGACACGTGGCAGACCCAGTGATGAAGACCCAGCCGAGTTCAGGAACGCACTGGACACGCTCAGCCGAGATCATGGGGGGTTCAAGCCGCCGAGCTCAGGCTAAATGGTACCATGTACCGTCCGATACGGTAACCAGGCTCAATTGAGTCCGGGAGTTGCGCAGTCGAGTTCACGGGTCGCTCTGCCGAGTTCACGAGTCGCCCCGCCGAGTTCGCGGGTCGCTCCGCCGAGTTCACTGGGTTATCCAGCACCTTATCCGGCTCAGCCGAGTTCGCCAGGTTATCCAGACACGCCGTATCCGGCTCAGCCGAGTTCAAGGGGTTATCCGGACAGGTTATCCGGCTTAGCGGAGCTCAAGCGTCGCCGAGCTAGGTGAAGAGTCGGCCGAGATCCAAAACCGCCCACTTCATTTGGTATTTGTATAGAAGCTTAGGAATAGTGGAGGCGCCCCTTCAGGGCGCCCGACAGAGATAACAAACAACAGAGCAGAATTTTCTAGGTCCACAACACGTGCACGCGCTTCCAGTAAGCCCCTGCACGGGCCGGATTATGTCTGCTGTCAGCACCCGAGAGGCATAGCTTGTATGGTGTTGACTGGTAGCGCCAAGAGATTAAGGTCGGCCCGGGTTGGGCGCGTGTCTCGCCAAGCGCGAAGGAAAAGTCTGGCCACCGCTGCGAGCCGGTGTTCCCGTACGTCCCGGGCACTGATTGCTGAGTCGAGAAGCCTTTGCTCTCGGCGACCCGTAAAAACCCGCGAGGGCCGTCGTCCGTCCTTTGGCGGAGGGCACGGGATTTCTAATTCCGGAGTCAGGTAACTCAGCTGGCTTCCGTGATTGACTGGCTTGGGGTACTGGGTCTCGGCGAGGACAAGACATCACTGTCTCGGAAGGGCCGAACCGCTGGGGGACATCTCAGCGCAGGCCAACAAGGGCCGACTAGCTCAGCTGTTGTTGTGTTTGTAGCTAGGGTGCCACATCTGACGATTTTGTGGGTGCTACTACACCACAGAGAGATCGGCATGCTGAGCGCAACACTGCAGCATGGGCGAGTAGTTGGCTGAATGCTCGTTGCTGAAGTAGACGGGGCATGAAGGGAGAGGTCAACAGTCGAGTGGGCTCTGTCGACACGGTATACTAAACGCACATCACGGGTGACGAAATACCATGCAATGGTACTTATCTGCGTTAGATGCTTGAATACTGAGTTCGGCGCTTCGTCGGTGGCGGGCATTGGCTTCGAGCAGCCCCCTCCCACCAAATAAAGGCGAGAGGCTAATGGCCGTTGACGATGGAGTGTCGAATCGAAGCGCGGGTGATTGGTCGAGCCGCAGCGCTGGTGTCTTGGCCTTCGGAATGCCGCTTGTGTCCGAGCAGGTGAAAGCGCAACTGGCCGGCCGAGGCGATCAAGAACGACTACCTATCTATAACTACTCTGTGCGATGTGGCGGAGCAAAAACCGCTGGGCTCTCAGAACCGAAGGTTCCTCGGACCCCCGGGTGAAAACCGCTTATCGGACAGTCTACTCTAATCATAGCCATGGAGCTCTCCAGCACGAGCGGGTCGCTAAACTGGATGCAGCTGAGCGCGAACCATGACTGGGCTCCAGTTGTGGCAACGTGGCTTTCTCCTCTTGTGCAGGAAAACTTAATTTCCACCTCGCTTCGCTTGATGGAAATACCGAATCCCTTCTGGCGAAAATACGACTCGAATTGGAATGCGAAGCTATTCAGCTTGATCCCATCGATCTCTCCGACGAAAATGGGAGACTTCACGTCCATTTTGCGTAAATGCTGCGCCTGAGCACCCCCACATCCTCTGCCCGTCACTCCAGCCGCTATATTTCCTGCACCAGCACTCTGCGCCAGTGGCGGGGTCGTACTCGCCATGCTCTGGGCACTCTGAGCTTCACAAGGTGTCTGGCTTGCTGCTTGAGCTAAGCGCTGTGCGTCGAGAGCGACTTGCCTCACTTGCGTCAGCCCTTGCGTTAGGTTAGTCATCCCTTGCACCAGATTGGCCACCGTGTCATTCAAAGCAGCGATATCGGTACGAAGTACGGTGCTCATGTTGTTGATTGTCGCATTGATGTTAGTGCTGAGTCATCATGCGTCTGGTCCAGTCTGGTTTCCAGCCTGTCGATCCGTTGGTATTCGGCGCTGCGGCGATCACCATCCAGCTGCTGCCGCACCGGCGCGGTGTCGCTCCTCAGCATCCTCCGCGCTGTGTTTCTGACTTGCATCGGCACCAAATTCTACTATGTCGCAATATTCCTGCTCATGTGCGAGGCGGAAGATGAGAGTTGGTAGCACTTAGGCAAAGGAAGCTGTTTGTTGAGGCTCTTGATACACGAAATCTGTATTTGTAGAGTTACGGTACTTGTAGAGCTGTCGAGGTGCCCGAGATCCCCTCCCGAGGTCACCCGTGTGGTTTGCCCACGTCTGCTTGGCCGGAGCAGAAGTCGACTTGATTCCTTCTTTTCAGATTGCGGAATGCCCAGCGGCCATTCCTCCTAAGTATATGCGGCCGATGTTGGCATCCGCCTGGAGGTGGTCGCCGCGAATTGCTCCAAATGGGAAAACCCGATATATCCTCTTCTTTGATGGTGAATCCCGCGGCAACCCGGGTCCTGGTGGCTGTGGGGCTGTGATCGTCCGCGTTGGCGACAAGATTGCTGGTCACGAAGTTTGCTGGGTCGACAGCATGTCTTACGCCGCAAAGACCACCACAAACAACCTGGCCGAGAACATGGGACTCCTCACGGGACTTCGTGCTTGTCTACGGCATAACTGGACACCACTGCATGTTGCAGGAGACAGCAACATAATCATCCGACAGCAGCGAACCAGGACACCGCCGCGAGCAAAGCATCTCCACGGGCTGTTTTGTCGAAGAATAGCGGACAAACTGAGCGTGTTAACGTGGCAGCACCACGCGCGAGAGTACAACAAAATGGCGGATACACTCACCAATATGGCGATGGACTCCCGCCACAGCATCCAAGACCGGCCCCAACGAGTACTTGGCTCAAGCTCGAGATGGGACGACGTCTATGCCCATGCCCACCGTGATGTGGGGCATTGGCTGGAGAGAAATCACGATAAGAACTCCTCGGAGCTCGCGGCCTTCACGCTATAACCTAGCTAAAGTGCCTCGGAGACAGCAGTCACTACGATTGGTTGCAGGGCGAGTGGATGGAGACGATCGCCGAGAAGGTCATAGGATGTCGTTAGCGAACAATGTTAAGTGACAACAATGTACCTCACTGAAAACTGAAACATTCCTCCTAAGTATCTTCTGCTAGCCTATCTTAAACATGCACCCACTACTCTCAACGGCTACACTGGTACTTTAGTAATTTCCGGCAGTGTTCCTCTGAACAGTGACAGGCTCATCAATGTGCTCACGAGCTCCTGCAGAAGCCCGTGACACTGTCGACTGTAGTGAATCCCCGAAAAGCCGTTCACGAAGCCGTCGATAGCGGACATCACGAAGTGGTGAAGTGGATCATGAGTCATCCTGATCGTGATGTAAGCGGCGATGATGAGAGGCCACTCTCCAGATAAATCTGTATCGGGCAACTACCGGTGGATACTTCGACGTTTTAGAGTGGTTGTTGCTCCACCATCCAAATCGTTGTCGACTTAATGGTGCTGACATTGAAGCTGCGCAAAATGGACGCCTGGAAATTGTCCATTATTCTACGAGAGCAACGTGGAGTGTTGTCCCGACCGAGCTTTTGCTTCGGCAGTTGCATGGGGGCATCTCGACATCGTAAAACTGTTGTATCCTAAGAATCAATCAGAGTGTCGTTGTCCGTAGATCACGTGAATTCCTATTGGCTAAAACTCCACCCCACTAATTCCGATTTGCTGCCGAGCGCGGCACCCGCGTGCGTTCTAGCCCACAGGGCCCGCCCTACAAGTATGTACTAATAACACGGCGAGTAGTGCAGCGAGCCGACGAGGCGAGCGGAACGGGGGCGATTACGTCACCTCCGCCGTGACGCTTGGCCTAATATAATACTTATCGGAACACCTGCTATTAATTAAAATGGGTTCACCGCGTAGTAGCAGCGATAGCAGAGTCCGCTTAAACATATAATAGCACTGCGAGTAGTGCATAGTGGCAGCGATAGCTGGGCTTGCCCTACTACATAGTATAATTTTAATTTACCGAACTTGGTTAAACATAAGCACATTGTAAGCCATAGCAGCGCATAGTTAGCTATAGCAGCGGGTAGTCAGCGATATGAACGTATAGTTAGCGATAGCAGCACGTAGAAAACGATTGCAACGGATACTTTGCGATAACAGTGCATAGTAAATGATAGTAAATGATAGCAGCGTATAGTAAGCGATAGAAGCGCATAGAAGGCGATAGCACCGACGTAATAAGCGATAGCAGTGCGAGTACATGTAGCGAGAGGTACAGTAGCTGAAGACGATTGATTAATAGTTTCAGGTTAGTTTTTGTGTAATACTTTAGGGACGGATATATTATAGCTGCAGCGGTGCTGAGTAGCGGTAAGATAATGGGTTATGGGGATAGTAGATGCTTAGACATGCATTGGAGTGGAGGTTTTATTGTAGTTCATAGCCGTGTGCAGTAAGCGATACATGTAGCGGAAGGAGATTTATTACTAACATGCGCAGTATACTTTTACTGTAATACTTTAGCGGTGGATATATTATAGCTACAGTGGCACTCTGCGTTCATCGTGGGGGAATATTCGCTTAAGCGCGTTTCGTATTTACTAAAGTACAGTGTGCAGCGGTAGGATAATGCGTTAGTGGGGTTCTGCTATGCAGCGAACATTAGCATTTTAGCATTTACAGTAACTAAGATATTAAAAGTAACAACCTTGCACCGCGTAACTATAAAATTCACGTTTACACTATACTAATTCCGTTTCCTACATGTATATCCGCCCAATAACATGGTTATTGAAGGAATCTCAGCGTAAACTATGATAAAAAACCTTCCGCTCAGTGAATGTCAGAATACATGTATCTACGAGAATAAACTGATAGCCACGTCTAAATATATGACTTTTGAAGCAGACCACGTAATAGTTAGCCCGCAGCTACATTTGACGGATCATACACAGTGCTGAAACGATGAAGCATGATATTTTAAATAAGAACACGAACAGTTATTATATGTTAAGTCGGGGAAAAGCGAAGTCAACACTTTGATTGTCGCTGGGGCTTATAGCCCAATGCAAAATGTAAATGTATACAAACTGAATAACAGAGAACTATGGTACGATGATAAACTGAACAACAAATATGTACATATACGTGAGCACACTAAAGATAGCAACACCAAATCGATCTACCCTGCCATGATATATTGCTCATGTTTATTTCTACTACATTCACAGTAAACACGGATTGTTAGATATGAACCGTGCGAATACTTTGTAGTTCGGGTTAAATAGTTGCGACGAGTTGGACACGGCTTTCCCGTACAAGATAGGGCCGTACAATAGAGAATATTTTACCCTGCAACATCCATCTACTCATAGTAACGCTGGCATGGGAATAGTTATTTTGGCTGATACCATCCACGACTACACTAAGCATAAAAACATTTTTACACGCACACAATCGGAAATAAATATCATTTGAACTGATAAAAGGCCACCGGAGCGAAGGGGAGGTGGGCGGCCCTATCTACTGCAACTAACCACATAACTACCGCCGCGTAGCGGCGGCGCTCGGCTAGTGATCATCAGCTGGAAGGATCTCCTCCTGGGCAGGTCATTGACTTGGCCGCACGAAACGGCTACATTGATATCGTCAAATGGCTCCACGAAAATTCATCGGAAGACTGCACGACGGTTGCGATGGACGGTGCTGCAATTAACAACCATCTCGAGGTGGTTCAGTGGTTGCACAAACACCGCCCTACTGCTGGCTGCACGAACGTCGCCATGGACTCCGCAGCCGGAAATGGAAACCTCGAGCTAGTCAAGTGGCTTCACATAAGCAGAAAGGAGGGCTGTTCGCCCAACGCGATGGACCTCGCTGCAGCAAATGGACACCTCGAAGTGGTTAAGTGGCTGCACGCCAACCGACACGAAGGCTGCACTACTGACGCAATGGACATGGCTGCAGCTCATTGACACCTTGATGTGGTGATTTGGCTTCATGATAATCGGTCCGAGGGCTGCACTACCGAAGTGATGGATCGTGCAGCTGAGTACGGACACTTGCAAGTACTGGAATGGCTTCACGCCCACCGTAGCCAAGGATGCACGGTCAGCGCCATGAATGCGGCTGCAAGGAATAACCGCCTTGAAGTTGTGCAATGGTTGGACGCATTCAGAACTGAAGGGTGTACTACAGCAGCGGTGGACAAAGCGGCGGAACAAGGTCACTTTGAAATGGTTCAGTGGCTGGATCGTCATCGCCATGAGGGATGCATCTCCGCTGCCATGGAATTAGCGGTAGTCGGGCATTGTGTCGTGGATTTCTCAGCGACATTCCGAGTATGACGTCGTCGATGCGCCGAGAAGATGTCCCGACGAGATCCGACGCTGGGAGTTTGTGGAGTGGATGTACTTACACGCCCCTGCCCACTTTGAGTCTACCATTGCAGAAGGACTTTTTGCGTAGCGGTAAGTTATTCTAAATAGGAGGAAACTCAGTGGCTAGCCGGCATTACATGGTCTCGCTGCCACGGACAACACGGAGTGATCCAAATCCAAGACACCACATCAAAGGCATTCAATGAACGAAAGTTTTTATGTTGTTTATTTTAGCGTATTCTTTTAAGAATTTATGTCTTTATGTAAAAAAACAAGTATGAGACGGCGGCAAACAAAACATTACTTACGAACCTAAGTACGAATCGCGATTTAGTGGCTTTATCGTGAAGAGCGCTGTCTTGTGCACATTTTGAACCCTTGTTTGCATCGAAATGTTTAAAATTCGAGGAGTTGTCGGCACTTGAAAAAAACTATCCCCACTTGGGAAGGGTCAAAATCCTACCACGTTTTGAACGATAGTGACTTCAATTCTTTCTCAAAATTTGCTTAGCGTACATTATCCGAAAGCTCTTGTTAAAAGCAATCGCATTAAAGTCTTATCCGCTTTCTATGAGTAATTTTCACTTTCAACTTTTCGATGTCCGGATATGTACGAATTCTGATTGGTCAACTTTAAAGTCGATTACATGTATCTCGATAACTCTCAATGGCGCGTTAGTAACATTTTGTTCGCCGTTGTCTCGTATTAATATATATTTATCCCACGTGCGTTAACGTGGGCTTAGTGTTGTAGGGTTGTATTCGTGATGTTCACGTCAGTGGTATGTCACCGTCATCTTTCGATTTACGTCTGCAATTCACTGACGCAATCACAGTTTGTGTGAGATCGCCAAAGTCTTTCGCTAGATGCTCACAATCCGTTTCGCTATCCATCACGCAAAGCGCCGACACACGCCACGGTGGACGAGCACCTAATAGTCAAGAGCTCCTTCAACGAGTCATTCGTGACCGTCGACAGCCTACAAAGTGACGAAGACCAGCACATCAAGTCGGACCCACTCCTCAAGGAGGAACTTCATTTTGTGGCGAATCTGGTCAACTGTGACACCAGCGCGACTATGGAGGCTTCGCAATGACGCAGTCTTCAAGGAGAAAATGACCAACGAAAGAGAGACCAGGGCGGCTGTCAAGACTGCAGGAGCCTACCAAGTACGAGCGATTGCTAACGCGGGGAAACAGCAACCGGCAGAGCGAATTCAAGGCTTCTGTCTTGAAATTTGCAACAGCCTCATGATGGCGCTGAACGAAGATGAAGACGCTCCAAACCTAGATGTCTGGAACATCCACTTCAGCACGCACATAACTAAGGACAAATTGACCACGGGAGGGTGGGTCCTCTACCACCAGACGGCCTCTCAACAGTGGATTCCCAGAAAAGCAGGAAGTCTCTACTTGGGGCTAACAAACACACCGACGGACGCCGCAGCACGAACGCTGAACCAAGGGTTGACAGAGCTCAATGCGATGACTAACCTGGGCTCGACGTATCTCCGCATTGATAGTCTTGACAAGAAACTACAAGTGCAGCTCCAACAACTCAAGGCTGACATCCAAGCAACGGGCCCAGTAGCCGCGCTCGCCAAGGACTTGAACGCGATTTTCTCGGTGCAGTGGGGTTCACCTGCTGGAACTGCGCTCCGAGCGGCTAAGTTGATGGCAAAAACAAGCACTACAACCATCTACGATGCCCACAGCACAGGAGGAGCTTTGATCCCCAACTCAAGGACAAGGAAAACGATTGCAGACTCCACACCTCAGCTGCAAAAGCAACAACAACACTCAAAGACGTTCGAGATACAGGCACATCTCACTAGATATCAAGGGCTCTATAGGTCAGTTAATTAAGCTCAAATAGAAGGCCACTTAAACCCAAGGAGGAACTTCGTGAGCCCCTCAAGTTAATCCTCCCAGTGGTATGTAGTCGCAGAGGATTTCACTGTAGAACAAACCCCATCTAACCAGCCATGCCGTGGCCCGAATTCAGACAGGAACGACAGGTCTCGAGTATCTTCCGGGCTTCGTCTCCATCATATTGCCGGCAACATGGCCGGGCCCAACTCGCAGCACTACGTGGACGCCGCCACAATCTCCGTCATGGTAAGTGGCTATCGCGTCTCTGAGTTGACAAAATGCATGAGACTGATGCCATGTATTCCATGGACGTGTAGCTGTTGAACGTCTCTGCGCAGTCGCTTGGGTTGGGCACTCCACGCGCTGAGCTCCCAAGCTTACGGAGCCAAGAGGCTCGACAAGATCGGGGTCTACTTCCAGACCGGCGTAATCGTCCTCGCCGTGGCCCTCGTCCCCATGCTCGTGATCAACGCGTTCGCCGAGCCGATCCTCGGGTGGCTGGGCCAATTAAGAGTGGCGAATGAGGCTTGTAGTCGATGTGAGCAGAAGGAAGGAAATCCGAAAGTGAGTTTATTTCAGTTAGTTGTCTTTGTCCTGCTTGTTCCTTCCTACTCCTGTAGCTCTCCTAGCATCTCCCTCGTTTGACTTCATTTAACTATATGCATGTGCAGCGGTCACACTTGAGTGGGACGGGCACGGGCCGTCAGCCAATCACAGTGTCCCGGGACGGGCACACTCGATTGGGACGGGCACGGTCCATACTCAAACACAGTTGGGACGGTCACACCTGATTGGGACGGGCACGGTCTGTCTCGTCAATGCATGTGATTATCCATGCTAATCACAGCTGTTGATCCGACTTCAACGGTCTCGCCCAATCATATCCACGCGACCCCAGATGGTCCGCCAATCAGGTCGCAGCATTCGCTTCACTTCAACTGCAGCCCCCGCAGGACCCAGTCGAGTAGACAGCGAGGTGCAACCACAACAGGGCCAGGACGTTGATATCACGCACTTGTCGCGGGATTTCTCCCGGTTGATGCTCCCCGGGCTGCCGTTCCTCTTCCTCTACGAACTGGTCCGGAAGGCGATGCAAGCCCAAAACATTGTCAAGCCCCTCGTCGCCATTGCAGTGGTCGGTAACGTCGTCAATCCCGCAGCTGGATACGCGCGGGCGTACCATACGTCTCTGGGCTTCAACATTATCGCGGTCGGACGACCGCTCGGTAACATCACGCTCGCACTGCTCCTCGTACGGTACTTCATGTGGCGACCGGCTCAACTGCGCCAATGGTGGGGCCACGAGTGGAATCTCAAGGCGGCCAAGAGCTACGTCCGGCTCTTCTTACGTATCGGGGTGCCAGGCATGGTCATGCTGGCGGTGGAATCTTGGGCCTTTGAGATCCTGGCAATCCTAGCCGGCGTGCTACCAAACAGCGTAGTGGCCCTCGCAACGCACTCGGTGTTGATGAACGTCAACTGGATCCTCTACACGGCGTTCTACGGCGTCGGGGTGGCTGCGACCATCCGAGTTGGCAACAGTCTGGGCGCGGACCAGCCCAAAAAGGCCAAGATGGCATGCTCCTTGTCGCTGGGGATTACACTCGGGATCTCTGTCGTCTTCGCCGTGCTGCTCTTCAGCCTCAGCACCTACATCCCTCTCCTGTTCCTGGATGGGGGAGGAGAGAGCGCCGACCTCGCGTCCAAGATCATGGCCATGTGGGCGCCTCTCGAGATCGCCGACGGCCTCAACGCTGTCATGCAGGGGGTTTTCCGTGGGGCTGGCAAGCAGAAACCTGCGGCCATCGCCAATGTACTGGGATACTACGGAGGAGGGATCCCGCTGGGTGCAATCCTGGCTTTCGTGGGTGACCTAGGCGTCGATGGATTGTGGTGGGGAATCGGCTTTGGCATCACTTCAACGTGGCTGTCTCTCACGTTCCTCATGCTGCGCTACTGGAAATGGGACCAACTCGCGGCTGAGGCTCGTCAACGCACTGCGCATTGATGGAATTAACGGGGAAAACGACCTAAAGACTACTGCTACAACCTTGCAGTTATTTGCTGGGAATTCAGTCGCATGAATTTTTTTATTTTAAAAAGGTAACGTGGGGGGATCTGCCGCAATCTGCTAGAGTGTTAAAGATTATTTACAGTGCTCTACTGGTACTGTACCGTCATTTTTTTTAAATGTCGGAAGGCTACTTCATTTAAGCGGGATACGTGCAATAGCTCTGATCATACTTGTATGCCGTTTAAATATATACACGCATAGAAACCACAAAATCTGTTATCTTTATTGGCCACGCCAAATTGCAGCATTAGGACTTGTCGATTCCAAGTTCAAGCACCACTTGTGTTCCATGCTACTGAAGTATGTGGCGGCTTCGTAATGCCATCTACTTCCATGGACGGAAATCCAGCAACCAAGTGTGCCAAGTCTGGTCGCTTCATTTGGAAGGCCGTACCAGAAGCGGTGCCAGCTTTTTAAAAAGCGATTAAAATCGGTGTAGCACTTTGTAAGCGTCCGGATCAGCGTCGTATGGGCATGAGGATATCATGTACTGGTTGCTCAGAACTACTAAGTGCATCCCTTGCTTTGCCAAGTTCCAACATTTTAAAAAATATTAATTGGGTGTAGCAAATAAATAGAGAATCTCACTATATTTAACGGCTCAGTCGGAGACAACGTCCTGGCAAAGATACTGAAGGCAGCGAAGGAGGTGAAACAGACGAAGGTAGTCGCTTCAAGGCTCGAGGCAGAGCAGATGCAGCGCTGGTTCGCGGCTGGCAACAGTGCCGACGATGTGTTCAAGCTGCTCAAGCTGGACAAAGCAGGAGACGACCTGTTCGCGAGTCCGCTGCTCAACAATTTGAACACGTACCTGCAGATCTTCAACAGGAACAATCCTGCGGAAAAGACGACATTGTACAAGACGCTAGCAGCTCACTACGGCGACGACGGTCTGGCTCGGATTATTCTAGCGACCAAGAAGACGGGAGGCACATCGGAAATCCTTAATAGAGTCGAGGCGACGCAGCTCCAGATATGGCTCGGTAAAAGCCCAGACGATGTATTCAAGCTGCTCAAGCTGGACAACTCATTGGACGACGTATTGACCAGCCCGCCCTTGAACACTTGGGCCAATTACTTGAGCATTTTCAACTATGACAACCCTTCAAGGAAAGCGACGCTGATCGAGACGCTAACGACCCAATTTGGCGACGAAGCTGTAGCCAAGATGCTTATTAGTGCGAAGTAGGTGGAGGTAACTTGGGGCATCGCCACGAATCTGGAGGCTGCACGCACCCGGCACTGGCTGAGCATGGAGACGTCTCCAGAGACCGTCTTCACGCGGCTGAACCTTGGCAAGGCCCGCTCTTTACGATATTCACCAAGTTCACGGATGCGTACCACGCCAAGAACCCGAGAAAGCCGATGACGACAGGCTGGATCGTACGCGCGCACTACGATGACGTCGATGTCGTCAAGATGATCCTGGCGGCGGAAAAGAGCCCGAGCTCTGTGAACGCTGCTCTACGTATGGAGGGCGCACTGTTGAAGGACTGGATGGCTGCCTCTAGAGCCCCCGACCACGTTTTCGAAGCGCTAAAACTCAATCGCGTAGGGCTGAAAAAGCTGTTGAAGGACCCTTTGTTCCTCTGCTGGATGAAGTTCATGGACAACTTCAACAAGGCCTTCCCTGGTAAGATTGTTGAACGGACGATGTTGGCCACAACCCACAAGGATCAAGACCTATGGAGAGCGGTTCAAGCCGCCAAGAAGAGCCCCAAGACCAGGGAATTCGGGACCAAGTTGGAGACGGAGGTGCTCAAGCAGTTCATCTTCGCTGAGAAGCAGCCGATGCACGTGGCCAAGCTGATGAATGTGAAAGAGAAGACCGATGCCAACTGGAAGCTTTGGAAGTTGTGACTACAGTGACACCTCCCTAAATGAACCCCTCTAACTGACTATGTGTTCCCTATCTGGTTAGGATTCAAACAGGATTATATGGATTTCACTATAGATGTTCTATAACTGATCAAAAACCTCTTTATTCTCTAAATGGTCGCCATGGTTGGCGTCTCAACCCTCTAAATGGACGCCGTAGTAATAGATCCAAACTCATATATTTTTCTCAATCACTTGCCTGCCTCCTCCCACGTATGCCATTGCTACTACTACTCCCGCCACAACAAATCGAGCGAAGAGAGAAATTTTATTTGGGATGCTAAGTTGGAACAAAGAGTTTGCAGTAACTGCAAGCTTGTAAATACTGATAAATAAGCTAGCCCCAGTATTTTACAATCAGCGCAGCGTACATATATATTTTACGAAAAACAAAAATATTATGATGTCGAGACAACTAGGGGCTATGCAGTAGATTTCAAGCAAAATATAAAACTGCAGGCATGGTGGCAGGATATCGGGACAACAAATATTCCTATAACCTCACTGTATTGAAACTCACGTACAACCTGAGCCTCAGGTCCTGAGGGGATGCGATTCTGCTAATACCAATGAGAAGAAGGAGTAGGAACAGACAATACCGCGCCTACCGTTATTGGTTAAGTTCTGTCTGTGTGAAGACGAAACAAAACAAGAGTACGAAAATGCTGGAGGGGTACCAGGTAAAGAAAGCCCTTGTATTGTGCACCTAACATATGAAATGTAGCCATTAGAAGTATAGCCATTTCTTTATCTGATCAATTCTTTAACTGAAACAGCGTGTCATTTATAGAGGTGTGACTGTACCACAAGTTTCACCTGCGAGTTGATCTACGTCTTGGGCTCCGTCTACTATCGACTGCGTATACCGACTGGCACGCCACGCTGGCAGGTTGAAAGCGTTGCAATTTTCTCGTCGAATCTACAGTAGAAGAATCCTCACGTACCCCCCTTGACGAGCAAATAGTTTTCAAGGTGCTTCACCACAAATCTCTATTTCATCAGCTATTTAGTGCAGTGTGTTGCTTGTAGAACTTGACGTACGAGTCATAGAGACCCCTGGCCACGTCATATTCAGCAGAACCCTCAACCCGAAGCCACGCGTAGACCTTGCGGGGGTCCGTCTCACCCGCCATCCAACGAATGAGCAGATCATCCAGCAGGTCCGACGCATAAGCCTTCGTACTGGGCACCTTCTCCGCGTCCAGCAACATCTTGGACAGGTTTGCGTCGTTGAAGTGTTTCCTCAAGATCGACAGCTCGTTCACTCGCTGGCTGGGGTTCTTCTCCCTGAAGAACGCAATGTACTTCTGCCACATAGTTAGAAGCGGGCTATCGAACAGGTTATCCCCAGCCTTGTTCAGCTTCAGCAGAGTAAACACAGTTCCTGGGGCGTCTCCTTTCTTGTTCCAAGCCAAGAACATCTCGGTATCCAGTCGTTTGGCGATACTTTGAATGCTTGGGCTCTTGCTTCCGTCCACCACCATCTTCGCCAAGGTGTCAGATGAAAAGTGCTCCAACATCGAGGTGACCGCAAGGTCTTCGCGTCTCGGGTACCTCTCGTTGAAGTCGTCCGTGTACTTGAGCCAAGAGACGAAGAGCGGGTTTTCGAGTAGAGTGTCCTTCTGCTTGGCGCTGTTAAATTTCAGCAGAGTAAAGATGCTTTCGGGCGATTTCCCCGTGTTCAGCCAGCGCAGCGTCTGCTCCGCTTGCACCCGCGTTGCGATGGCCTCCGTACTCGGAACGCTCCGTGCCTTGATGAGCATTTCCACCAGCGTTTCCTCGTCAAACCGATTTCTCAACTCCGAGTACATCGTCGTCTTCATGCGAGGATATTTCTTGTTGAACGTGTCCACGTACTTCATCCAGGCATTCACCTGGGGCATCTCGAAGAGCTTGTAGCCGGCCTTGTTGAGTCTCAGCAGCCTGAAGACATCCTTGGGAGCTTCTCCTTGCGTCATCCAGCGGTACATCTGCTCGGTTTGAAGGCGTTTCGCGAAAGTTCCCGTGTCCGGAACTAGCTTGGCCGACTCGATGATCTTGGCCAGGCCATCGTCTCCATAGTGAGCCGTCAACGTCGAAATCAAGCTCGTCTGCTTCTTGGGGTTCTGCTTGTTGGCGAGCTTCATGTAGTCGATCCACTGCTGCAGCTTCGGGTTGCTAAGAAGACCGCCCGCCGCCTTGTTTAGAGCCAGCCGCTTGAACACGTCGTCCGCGCTCTCTCCTTTCGCGAGCAAGGCCTTGAGTTCGTCATCGATAGTGGTAGTCGACTTCAACGTGCTGGAAAGCGTCTCCAAGCCCGAGACGGGGAGAGCTCTCTCTTCCTCGTCTGTCGTCGCCCTGTGCGCCCTCAAACCCCCCTGGACGGCCGTATCGGTCCGGAGTTTGCCATTAGAAGTAACTTCAGCGGTTGCACTTTGTACTAGCAGTAGCAAGGCAGAAGCTACAGCTACGAGTTGATGAAGACGCATGAATCTCTCGGTGTCGTTAGCTCCAGGTGGTGGTTGGAATGCAAACTGCGAACTGACGCCGAAGAGAAGACATGTGATTGTTCGGAGAGCAAATCGGAAGACCTCTCCTAAACCCGATGCTTTGCATGCTGATCGCACGGTGGATGGGGAGAGGGTCTCTCTGGTACACATGAACAGTACATTTACTGCGGATGTATTGTAGTGTACGTGTACCGTGCCAAAAGTGTACTGTACCACCAATTGGTTGCCCGCCGAGCAACCAATGCCCGGCAAGTTTCGAGACGCTGCCCATTCACTACGATCATTTTTGAAGTCATTCGCAACTTCCAGTTCACCCATCTGAAATGCCGTTTTTCGGTAGGTACCACCGTCCAACGATTTGATCATTGCAATTTCTATATTACCATAGGTTTGATACATGTACCAGTAGAGAGTTGCTCGACTATCAATAATGAGGCTGGTGTTGCTACCACCGAATTTAGGCTCGTCTGCCGAGGACGGGTGTCATGGCACTCGAATCCTGAAACTGAAGCGTGTCAAAAAGCCTAAAACCTCTCATTTCTCCAAAACTAGGCCGTATGAGGGCTCATCGGAATGCTCTTGGAAGGCCGAGCGCGTCCATGGAACTGAATGCACGCGCATTGGGCGTGATCTACAGGATCGAAGCGATCATTTGGGGGGATTTTACGGATCGGATTTCACTCCCTCCCTAAACCCCTACCCCTGTCTAGGCATTGATGCTACGAGGCCAGATTTGGTAAAATTACTGAAAGTTTGACAAAAATCACACCGATTTGGCCCTCAAGATTCGGTGGTAGCAGCGTATTCCCAATAATGATCTGAATGATAGCGTCCTCTGTTACAGTACTAAGCCTACGCTCAACTACATGTAGTCGCTGCTATTGAACAATACCATCGCTAGCAAAGTTACTTATTTTATTGCTAATAAATGAGACGACGATTGCTGAATCCGCGGGTATTTCTATAGTACAATTTGCGTAGCAAAAGATTCGGGTGACTAGACATTACAGTAATCTGCCCGAGTAAGGAACGCCTGATATATATAAAGACGCAGAATATATAAAATGATGTTAAGTTGAGTATACTTTTCCAATGTACTGATTTAGTTATTTTAAAATGAACCTTTACCTACGAGTCCGGAATGATTCCAACAGTGGCGTATGGTCGAAGCACTTTCCTTTGACCAGGCATCCTCGCACCACAACAGCGCTGTCAACTGGTCGACCTCGTAGGGATTATCGAGCCCTCTACCAAGCCGGTCTAGAGCCTGCATCATTTTAAGTGAGGCGGAGACGCTTGGACGGTGTGGACTTCATGGGTGGAGTGGGGCTTGTGGGGCGAGGTGCAAAAGCAAAAGTGCGAGTCTACCACTACGGTACATGTAGTTTGAAGTCTAGTAAGATCGCTAAATGCGCGCCATCTTTCAAACGAGGGTGGAGAGCTGATGATTGGCACTAGATTTTTCACCTTAGTACCTCAGTACCTTGCAGTACCTTGCACATCCCCCTATCGCCACATCGACTGGAAAATAATATTAAATATGTGAGGCTATTAGTTAGTTGTACACCCGTTCCTTATTCGGGCAGAATTCTGTATATGTTGCCCAAGATTTGAACAACATCACCAAAATCTAGTTGCAATCACATGAGGAAAATTCGACATCTCATACTAACATGTAAATTAGCGACTTTCTTAAAATGTAGTACAGTATGCATTCTACGCGTAAACGGGAGGTGATAGAGGAATATTAGAGAACTTTAGAAGCTGGACTAAGTCGTGGTTTTGGAACAAAAATTGACAAAAAACGTATGAAATACAGATGATCCAAAAATAGGTCCTAACTCTTTGAACAACTCGACTCTTCTGGACTTGAGACATCTGCCGGGTAATCTATCCGTAATCTATCTGGATTTTACCCAGATCTTTTAGATTTTCCTTGTTCCAAGTCCAAGAGATGTTCCAGCTTCTAAAGTTCTCTAATATCGGGGGCAGGGCACCCAATAATGCATTCCAAGCGGCGGTAAGCACAACAAACAAAAAAACGTGGACAAGACAGGAGTGTCGAAGGTCACCAACCAACACGCAACAAGCAACGATGATTGAAGCTGAAAGGGAAACCCGCTGACGAGGTGTTTCTACTGCTCAAGCTGGACCAGGCGACGACTTCCATAATAGATTAATTATCCTCTGTATCGTAATAATCCAAATCCTCTTTGTAGTGGTATCCCGAATAGTCATTAGCATTTTTAGATGACCGACAAGCACGTCCGACAACGTGGGTCAGTTACCCCTTCGAATGGACTTGGATTCTTCGTGATCGCTCACATCCTAGTAACGCTTGCATGCTGTGATTCTGGAACGTGCATTTACCGTAGCGTACAGCTTGGGTACTAGACTAGATTCCGCGTTGTAGCTTGCCCGGGCAGTCCTCCCAATTACATCTGAATAGTGGCCAGTATATCATCCCTCCTCTTGGTATATAGCTGAACAACTGGTAGATAATATAATATCCAGCGCAACAATCAAACTTATATAATATAATGCTACCTCGTATCGAGCGCAATGCAAGCAAAAATGGCGGCATAACACGTTGAACGATATTGTACCGTCAATATGGTACATGTCTAGATAGTTATGCCTCTGTATAGTGATAATCACTACGGAGAGTCTGTTGTGCAGTGTGATCATCACTTTTATCTTGAGTTTTTATAGACAAGCCCGACCACATAATCGCCAGATTTATGCAGGTATGTATTGCGCCTCATTGTCATGGGTAACGGAAATAAATGGCCAATCTCGGGCCGATTTTTCATGCCCCGGCTTTTTTTGCTTGTAACTATTGATCTACATAAGTGGCTGGTCAGGCTGGCTGGTGCTGGTTCTCGGTCCGGTGAGCGATAGGTAGGCGAACTACTCGGTTTTGACTCTGTCTGCGTTTTGTCCAAAATGAACAAAACTTAGCCAATTCGCCAAGAACCCGAGAACTCAATCGCCGAGGTGGTTCTCGGGTTTTGAGTAAAGTGCCTATGTCTTGTTCATTTTGGACAAAAAGCAGACAGAGTCAAAACCGAGTAGTTTGCCTACCCCTTCGCTCACCAGACCGAGAACCAGCACCAGCCAGCCTGACCAGCCCCTAAGGCCGTGTTCGACTCGATTCAAAAAGGGCTGGTTTCAGACAAATTGTTGGTTTGGAAGCTTATCCAGCCCGATTAATAATTTTGCCTAGACCTGAATTTCAAATCCAGCTCTTTTGAGCTTATCGAGCTGGATCGCTTTTTGGGTGTTTCAGATCGCAAACGAGCTGGATGAAGCAAATCCGGCTGCATTTGGCCTAAAACAACTGGATTGGATGCAAGTCGAACACGGCCTAAAAGTAAAAACCAGCAACGGTATTCTCTTAGCGTAAGCTAAGAGCATAACAGTCGCTGAGGCAACGCGACCTCCTCCTTTTTATATTTAGAGAGAAGTTTTAAACTATTTGCGGTTAAACTCAGTTTCAGTATTCCAGCGGCTGTTCGCTAAAAAGACCTCTATAAATATATGACCCTAATTTAAAAATCTGAAACCCCGTTTAAGCGTGGCCGACGCTACTGGCGTTTTATTTACGTATTCGTATTCGGCACCCTCACGACGAGAGGGTGCCAGCCTCGACGACCACCGAAGTCTAGATTTAGAGATGAGGAGTGATGGTCGCCTCAAGGGAGTGCATGTCAGGAGCGATCGTTTAAATCGGCTTCTTTCACGCGCAAGCGACCCCCAGACCACCCCAACATTGTTGTGGCCTGCTCATCTTGTGGCCTCCTGTGGCGCGCTGGCAAAGTTGTTGCTCCTATTTTACTACTTGGTTTAGGAAGCGCACAGCAGACGCAAAGGTGCGGCGTCGGTTGCCCACCGCGACATTTTCATCCAGCCATCGCACAACATCAGCGTGCCCATGGACCGTGGCGCAGTGCAGTGCCGACGACCGACGACGCGGCGCAGTGCAGTACAGTGCCGACGCTGTGCAGCCTTCGTAGCGGTTCGCGCAGCCACCAACTGGAGCATCTCGCCACACCTCCCGCGCTGGCGGCGCTGCCGCCTCAAGCTACATGTAAGCGCCGCCGCGCTGTTGGTCGCGACGGACACCGAGTACCTGAGGTATTACAGAGATTTTTTATTTAGTTATACCTAGCCTTTTTGGTGAAGTAGTCTGTAATGTGCAGTTGGCGGTACGGTTTTGGGTGCTTCGGCTTCAAGGTATGGTTGGTCGAGGTAGGGTTGGCGCGTGGAGGCAGCGGAGGCGAGCGACGAGGCGTCATACGCGCGACACAGCGCGGTGATCCGCACCGGCATCGGAACCATAGCTGGTTATTCTTGGCAGCGGCTCGATAGTCGACCGACAGTTCCTGTAGTGGCTCAATATCCTGGAGGGTGAATATGCCGACTCGCGTAGCGTTCCCACAACGAAACTAAAAAAACGCGCAGTTGGGGGAGCAAGAGTGGTTCACGAATCGGCTTTCATTGTCGCAGGCCGTAGCATCAATGTAAAATACTCGGTGGTCCGTTGTAGGCTCGCGTATCTGCATTGTGTAGTCAGGGTAGTTTTGACGCCGCTTTTCAGCTTCATCTACGAGTTCCCCAACATACTCAATGACGAATGCGTCACGAGGAATCTTTACACTAGCGGCAACACCTGTACCACAAACGGAAGCCAGGATATAAGTGCTCGAATCGATTACCACACACCCCTCCGTTGGAGCAGTTTTCGGTTGCCTTCATTTTGGTTCTTATGCAGATCAGGTCCAGGATTTGAACATGCTGATTGTGAGACCGAATCGGAAGACCTGAACCAAACATTCACAACTTTGGATCATGACATGACTTGTTCCTTCGCACGTGCCCCGTTCGGCTTCCTGCTCTAGCAATAGTTCGTGGTGCTGTCTCCAGGTGAAGAGTGTCCATTTTGACCGGTTATCTTGGCTCAAGAGATATTTGGCAGGTGCAAAATCATTGCATCCATTGCTATGTACTATCACCTCAGACTTACTATCAAATAGGTAGAACGCGTCGCCGCCGCAATAGAACATTCCCTTCCCAACTGCTCTTGACAGCAAGATACATTAGTTGCAATACCAGACGCTGTTCATGCTTCTATGGGGTGGTGCTCAGTTGTATTCCATTCGAGACTTCTGTACACTGAGAACTGTATGCGTCTCTCAGTCAAAGCAGTGCACACCTGGGTTCGTTTTCGTTCACACTCTCAATCAACATCGACAGTCTACTGTTGGCAATTTGCATATTTCTCGAAAAATTAGTTTACCATGGTACATGTACTTTAGAATACCTAGTAGCCACAACGAGGTGATTCCCTTCTGTTTGGCTAAGAGAAAAATAAAGTGCTTCAACTCGTAGCGAGGCGCCACAGCCGCAGCACGGTAACAACCTCTCTGAAGCTAAGACGCTGCACTGCGACCAACCTTGGGCGACGAGCGGCAGCAGCGCTGGCGCATCTTCGTGACGTCCGAGCTGGCCTTGTCTGATTGCCCGCACACCACGTCGGGCTCCGCGTCCACACGCGTGGAACCCACGCACCGCCAGATGCACCATGGAGGTCTCGTGGGCATCGATACGCAGGCGCCAGTCTCGTTCGTGGGTGACGGCCAAAGTGCGCGCGTTCAAGCTCGACTCGGAGCCGCACGGCAGCGGCGGCCAGCGCACAAGTGAGGAGTGGCGCACGGTGCAGCGGTGATCTACGCGGGCTTGAACAGCAGGAACAGCAGCGATGCACCCGGATAACCTCCGTGGACTTGACGCGCTCCACACTCATGGGGCATGAAGAGCACCTCCGCCTACACGATGCCCGCACCGGTCTGTGCGTCAACTGTAGTAACCGCGACGAACGGTGTCTGCCGCACCACCACGTCACTTTCCGCACCAAATAGCACAGCTTGCACAGCGCACTTGCACAGCGCAGCATGTCGTGCTACACGTGGTGCGAGGCGGACTTGGCCCGTCGACGTTATAAGCCACTTCCTGGTCGACTGCTGCTTGGGCTGCTCCCGACGCACCTTGTCCACCTGCTGTTCGTGCTGCCATGACGCATCTTGTCCACCTGCTGACCCCTATGATGGCGCTGCTGCATCTTCTAGGCCTCACTCATGCATGGGGGCATGAGTCATGCCCCCTCGCTGCTCTGCTGGTGGGGCTTGCGCTCGTTTGCGTTGGAGCTCCTCATGGCGAGGGTATTGCTCGTCTTCCTCGGACGCACTCCGTTGCGGTATTGCCGGGGGCGGCGACCCAGGGTGCTTCAACGGCTCGGTCCGTGGAGGTGTGACTCGGGCATCACCGAGGAGCGGGCAGCGTTAGGTAGACTTGGCTTCCTAGCATCATGGATGAGGTTTCAAAGTGAGACTTTTTGCGTCGTCACAGCGTGGCAATTGTGATCCAATCACAAGTTCAAAGAAAAAGTACAGTCTGATCAAATCCAAGACCTGTTCTGCATAAGACCCATTTAAAAAATCTTCCCAGTTTTCATCGTCGCACATAGTATCCGTCGCCCGATTGATGCTTCATCAATGATGCATGATCGCTCACCTTCGCTGACACACACACCATATTTGCAACTGCACTTCTTGTAGTGAGGGTAAGAAAACCGCTGTACAGCTCCTCTCGACCCTTTGAATACATTGCCACAGATGATCTCATCACTGGTTGGTCATGCTTCCTGAATGACAAAATCCGTCGTTGCACCAATTACCGTTGCCCACGGAGGGTCCATGGCACTACTTGTATTTGCAACCTCAGCAAACCTGTCGGAATCAAACAGCAGGGATCCTAGTTAAAACGCCTTGGAGATGAGTAAGGTGACGGCGAGCCACTATACACTCACAGACAGCCGAGTCCTCTGCTAGATCAAGTCCCAGTACAAGCTTGGGCACTTGTGAGGACAGTGGACAGCTTGAAACACGATGTGGGATGCCCCCGAACAATTGTGTCAAAAGTGAGCATGCTCCACGATCCATGCTGTAGGGACGTAGATAAGGTTGGCCGTGGATACGTAGTCATACCGGCAACCCGAAGCCTGGCACCTGCTTGGGTAACTCAGATTGCGCTGCAATATCTGAAGTCCCGCGACGTGGACATGTATTTCTCTGCCCAGCTTGTGCAGTTTCGTATCAACATCTTCCGTGAAAGGCCGGAAGATGCACAGCCAAGCAACAACAAAAAATCTCGCACAATCTCGCACCCATGAGGGAACTCAGGGCGCGAAGAAGCTGCTCTAGCCGAGGCAACAGGATTCGTGCTGCATGAACATGGCCAGCTTGAGCCGATTCGTGTTGATATCTTGTTAGCGAAAGGTCGGTCGATGCAGGTTTCAACTTATACAACACTATTAATTTTTTCGTCTTCCTCGCGGAAAATATGAGAGCCCATGACGACGACTTGTATGCTCGAATCTTGGCTGAGCTCCGCTGGGGACGTGTACCGGTGGATAATTTGGCTTCCCTAAACTCTCGAGTCAAGAAAGCTCCCGCTACAATCACGGCTTCCACGACATTTTTCCGCCCCTTGGTTGTTTCCACAAACAACCTCCGTTGTGCCATCAATAAGGTGATGACGTTTAAGATCAGCGCCGATACTGGTTCATACCTTTACGAATTCCCCGATGAACCTTCCAAGAGATCACAGCATATTTTCAAGCATATTATTGATGCGAACGACGATCTGACACAGCGAATCCCCATGAGACTATTCCTTTGTCGGAATGCCTGTTATGATCACCAGGAAACCTCCTGAGCTTAAGAACGTTGTCGCCAATGGTACGCTTGGCACCGTCATTGGCTTCTATCCTCCCATCGAGTCTCGATCATGTGTTGACGTCGAATCCGATGAACCCACGGTAATTCAACTGGCTTCCCCACCCGAACTGCTTTTGATACGCCTGGACGACTGCAATACAGTTCTCGTAGATGGTTTTGCGCCAGGCGTAATTGGTGTACCTCGAATCTCCTCCAACATCAAGCTTAACCCTATTCTGGTTGGTGGTCCTAAAACCTTGCAATATGCTTGGTTTTACAAATTTAATCCAATCAAATCACCCCTCTATTGGTTTTGACCTTTTATATCCCTTGCGTAAAACCAAGCATATTGCGAGGTTTTACAACAATAATTGCAATAATTATTGGTAAACCCCTGCAAAATGATATATTATGCTGCGGGGTGCGGGCAAAACCAAGCATTTATGCATGTTTTACACTTTACTATAGGGGCTTCAGTATACTAAATCCAAGAATAATATTGATCACTAAAGGGTTAAGAATATGCCAAACTTGGCTCAAGCTTCTATCACCATCAAGCAATTTCCTGTGGTTCCAGCATTTGCTTGTACTACAGAAAAACTCCAGGGGAAAACTTGCCCCGATGGCGTCGTTGTCACCCCGCTTCACAGATCGGGTGGCGTACCTACACAGTCACTGTATGTGTCTCTCTTGAGAACGCTTACACTGACGAACAAGCTCACTTACGACTACATCGCAAGATTTAAGCCAGATCTCGAATCAGCAGAGGAGATGAAGCGACTCATATCCTTCATCATTGAACCGCTGTATACGACATCCCTACAACACACACAGTTCCGCGACTGGAAATCCCTGCAAGGTTGACTGATACCATAGGCGCCAACCGTTAATAACTGCTACAGCCTATTGATTGTTTTCATTATGTTTTGTTTTTCTGTTTTTATTCAGCTACGCTAAGAGACATTGCGCGACTCAGTCAATGAAAAAGTGATGCTCTTTGCCGATTTATTCGATCAACTCTTAGCTTGTGACCCCTAAAATAAGCGCAATAGGCGCAACCAAACAACAGCATCAGGAATGATGGTCCTGGCCAACACTATAAGTGGCCGATCAGATTTTTATTTGGTGCGTAGAACTTATTTGATTGATCTACAGAACCGGCTCCGAATTGGCCAGATTGGTCATTTCCCTTACAGTGTGCTTGTATCTAACTCCCGCAGCATTGTATCACTACATGTATTAATATTTTAATAGTATTAAAATATGATGCGGATATAACGAAAAAGAACAATATACCTACAATAATCGTCGGAAGCATGCACGAGTTCCGGACAACCCGACCACTGGAATCCAGACAAAAAGACAAGGCTCCAGACTACTGGCGTGCTTTGTATACGTAAATGAGCAAGTCCTGGGCAAATTTGTCCAGTCCTCGTCCTCTTGAGGAGCCATTAGCCTTGAAATGCTACTGATAGAGTGGGAAACATACAAACGCGTTTGCAAACAGCTTTCACAGTGAGTTAGTGTGTTTGAAAATCACTAACAGATTTGCGGAGTACACTAGTTATAACCCGACAGCCGAGGCCACTCGGTAGTACACGAGAACGATGAGTGTGTCATCTATCGCTTCTTCACACGACCGCAACAACCTGAAGAGTCTGTCGAGATCGCCATGATGCATGCTCAGGTTAAACTAGGTAAGGGCGATTTTATCGGTGGATAGGATCCAATCTTGACATCACATAAGTAGATCTACCGTTATTTATCAATATCGACAGTAGATTGGGAACCATGAGCAGGCCACTCTAATTTTGAAAAGTCCGGATGCAAAAACGCAAAATAGCTAGTTTTTTTAGTGTTTTCCAGGCCAGTTTTGCATTTGGCTTCTGATTGGCTGATCTGGGCCCTCCAACATATGGTATCCCTTCATACCGTCAAATTCGGATTCAATGAGACAGTGGTAAAAAGTTCGTTTGTCGTATAAAGATCTAGAAAATATATGAACAATTTAATGTTTTTACGATGGTAAAAAGTAATTACATACAATTTTCAAGTCAAAAGTTAGCTGTATGTTTTACTTTTTACCACTGTCGCACTGAATCAAAAAGTCTCATTGAATCCGAATTTTACGGTGCGGTACTTACTTAAAGTACACTGGACGCCTGCCAAAGTGTATAAGCTTTCTGCATAAGCCGATTTAAGAAAACTTATATTCTCAGTAAACCAAGGGTCTCTTCGCCCCCTTATCTTGCAACTACACAATTGTAATCTTGAAAAAAGTAAATCACACTCTTTTATAGCAACTTGGTGACATTGGTGGCATAAAACCGACCTCTCACATTTATCGACCTTTGCACAATTTATATTTAGAGACGAATTTAGAGAAACACTTTATGTGATTGAATGCCACTTTTGGCAGGCGTTCACTAAATCGAGGCCCTCAATAGAAGCATAGTTAGGAAAGCATCGCTTGGTGTCGGACTACACTTTGTAAAAGCGGGTTTGCACCAGTACGACATACAGTATGCTACATACTTCATCGCACGCTTTGCCTTGACAAGCACTGCTTTTGAAGCAGGCAGCACCGTGAGCGAAGGTAAGTGGGACGTTAGGGGGTGTAAATTGTGTGTTTAGCCGCGCCTAGGCCCTTCTTATTCGCGTTGGAGCCCACTCATTGCAGGTTCATGGGTCATGGTAACCTTCTTGTTTTTGAGCATTTTCAGCGCTTAGTTTTTTTGTTTTGTCATTTTCGCCGAAAATCTCAAATTTAAAGTGGCCTGACCATGAGTCTAACGTAATAGAGGACCTATTTTAATGAGCTTTTAAGCTTTTAAAAAAGCCCCCTAAAAAATAAGAAAGATGAAGTTTTTTTTATTTTTAACTAACACCCTGCTACGCGTTCCACGCAGTCCTCCGACCCTAAAGGCTCGCTACGCTCGCTCGGGCAGAACCCTAAAAAAGCACGTTTTGGCTAACACGCGTCAACTCCGCTTGCTTGACGGGTAATGGCCTGGGTTAGTACCCGCGTGCTGTGCGACAGCAGGCGGGTGCTGGCTTCGTGCGATGGTCTATTCTACTTATACTTCGAGGTAGTTGCCTACTACTAAAGAAAAATTACGGATACCTGTCGTAGGTAGGCTCACAGCTTTTCAAATATAATTCCTATCCACTTATCTTGTGCAATTCCTCATGCTGCTGTGGACACGCCTGCTGCGGGTATAGTGTACTCCGCTGACCCTTTGTTTGTTTGTTTGTTTGTTTGTTTTTCACAATACAGTAAATCACTGCTTGCGAACGCGTTTGTATGTTTGAGTAGCTCCTCAAGAAAATTGGTACCGGTTGTCAAATCCATAGTCCGTGTATACGCATCACGGTGTTGCCAGAGTGATTCGCGTGAAGATACCATTGCTGGTGTAGAGAAGAAGAACTTCTCGTACCACTCAGCTTTCGGCGGCTAACAATCGAGCCTTAAGACGAATAACCAAATCCCATCTAACTCCATAACCATGTTAGCCCGATTCATTATACACTAACAAACAGTTTGCAAACGCTAGCGTGTAGCAATACAGTTAGAGTTTTTGCAAACACTATCCCGGTACGTCTGCAAATGTCGGGCACGTGTATGAGATTTTCACTCTCTTTTTCAAAGTATGTATTTTTCACGACATGCTGTTACCTCAGGTAAGTACGATCCCGCTCACCATCTACAAGCCTATCATGTTCAGAGTCCGAACAAACCATGTTGGATTTGCTGTTCGAAGCATCGGTGCCCCTTGATTTCTACCATTTTGCGATTTGCCCCAGCACCACCACTTCTAATTGTACAGCCTAGAAGTTCTGGGGCACCACGTTGCCTGAATTGGAGCTGACACAAGATGCGCCTCCACCCGCTCACGTTCATCGCGTCCGCAGCCCTTGTCACCTTCACGGCAGCAGAAGCCCACCAATCCACGACCACTACTCAACTATGGACTTCCAAGCTCGACACCCCCATCAAAAGGCTCTTGAGAGCCCACAGGACGACCGACGACGAAGAGAGGGGCATCACCGCCTCGGGCGTTGAGACGCTGGCCAATACATTGAAGTCGACCACCAACATCGATGACGAGCTCAAGGCCTTGGTCGCCAAGGGCGAGTCCGCGGACGACGCGTTCAAGCTGCTGACGCTGGACAAGGCCGCGGACGACCTCCTCAGCAACCCCAAGCTACAGTCCTGGATCAGCCACCTGGAGCTCTTCAACGAGCAGAACCCCAGCAAGAAGACGACGTTGATTGCGACGTTGACTGCTCACTATGGCGACGAAGCTTTGACCAGGATTATTGAACAGGGTAAGCGCGTCGCCAGCACCGAAGCCACGGCCAACCGCATCCAGGCCAAGCAGTTCGAAGCCTGGCTTGCTGGTGGGCAATCCGCGGACGACGTCTTCAAGCTGCTGGCTCTGGACAAGGCAAAGGAGGAGCTTATCGGCAGTCCGCTCCTGGACTCGTGGCTCGGCTACATGAAGTTCTTCAACAAGGAGAAGCCCAAGAAGCAAACGAGCTTGATCTCGACACTAGCGGCTCACTACAACGAGTTCGAATTGGCTGAGATGATCGGTTCGGCTAGGAAGGTGCCGAGCACGGCGGTCTTCGCCGATCGGCTGGAGACCGAGCAGGTCTACCGCTGGATTGAGACGGAGGCAACCAGGACGCCGGACGATATGTACACGATGTTGAAGCTCGACAAGGCCACGACGAACCTTTTCGAACTGCCTCAAGTGACGGCCTGGATGAAGTACATGGCCGCTTACAACAACAAGAACCCGAAGGAAAAGGTCTCGTTTTTGAAGTCATGGGAGTATGTTGTTGAGGACGAAAAAGAGGTGTGGAAACTAGTCGACTCGCCGTTGAGGAAAGCCTACAACGACGAAGAGCTGGTCACGATGCTGATCGCGGCCAAGAAGGTCCCGAGTACCGAGAAAATGGCAAGACGTGTGCAAGCCGAGCTGACCCAGAGCTGGATGAAAGACCCGAAGAACCACTTGCCTGACGACATTTTCGATCTGCTGAAGCTGACCGACAAGGAGACTCTTCTTGGAGACCCGCTCTTCAGCGCGTGGCTCAAGTACCTGGACGAGTTCAACTACAGATTTCCAAGATACGAGGACTCGGCGATCTCCACGTTGCTGGACAAATTCTCCAGTGTGTCGTTGCTCGAAATGATTCAAGCGGCGAGCAAGAACCCAAAAACGGAAGCCATTGCCAAGCGGCTGGACACGGAGATCGTGGAGAAGTGGTTCCAGAATGGCAACACGCCGGGCAGCGTCTACAACCTGCTGAGGCTGAATAATGACGGGGATAAGGTGCTCGAGAGCCCGTTTCTGCCCTCTTGGCTCAAGTTCACCGAGTATTTTAACAGCAAACAGATCCCCAAAGACCAAGTCAGCGCAATTTCAGTATTGAGGAACGAGTTCAAGGACGAAATTTTGGCAAAGATGCTCATTGAAGCACACAAAAAGGAAAGCACGAAGAAGACGGCGTTCGACTTGCTGGGGGATGTGATGGGATACTGGTTGTCTAAGAGGAGAAACCCATCAAGGGTTTACGCCTGGCTTCGCCTGCAGGACAAGCCACGAAATAAGGATGTGGTCGAGCTCATGCAGCAGTATATCGACTTGTTCACGAAGGCGACTAAGTAGAGCTTGTAAAGGAAGATTAATGCTCTGTGCCCCTCGGTTAGGGGAAGCGTATTCTAACACATAGAATTTTTACAATCCAATAATGAGCTACAAGAAACATACTACAATCTGAAATATTATCAATCAAGTTATAAGGAACAGAAGTGAGGTTAGCTCCACCGCGAATATCTCGCTATTGTCTTCTATGTCGAATGTATTGTGCCGCTCGCATTGTGGCATACAAGTAGGTACAGGTGTACTTTAAGCAGCTGCTGAGCATTTTCTACTTGAAGTATTATCCTGGCGTGTTAGCATCGGGGGATTGAGTGCTGCCATCAACGTTGTAGCATTTACAATCCTCGTAGCTCCTACAACGCAAATATTTCCATTTTCTCCGTTGCACTAGATTTGTACTAGAAAGCGAGGCTATTTTTGTCGAAATGCTCAATTCGTTGCAGTCTGAGCTTCAGCGCATGTGCGTCTTCGATTTCTTTACCTTTTGTCGGTTTTTGCAAGTGTTTGAGACTACCATGTGGATTTTGCGCTACAGACGCAGTCTTCACTCTTCGTTATGAATGACCAAAATGCAAGAATAGGGGAATGCTAAACTGTGAAGTGCTGCGTGAAATGGAACTTTGTAAGAAATCGTGAGGGAAACTTTAGCACTGAAGCCTAGCTTTACCTTCTACTCGCCACCTCGCTGTTTTATCTACTTCTGCAGTGCATGCAATACGAAAGAATTGGGTTGAGTACATATTTGTTCGAAAGGGGGTGTCAAGACCCATCCCGGTACTATCACCAGCAACACTGATGTGGTGATGCTTGTCATCAAGGATGATGTGAACGAATAGCGGGATAACTTGACCGCAGCATTTTCTCCTATCGAACATATCACTCACTTCGGTGCTTGTAGACCAGACCCCCTGAGAGCCACAACGCACGTAGTAGTTGAGAAGCATCACAGGAATCATGACGACCAACCAAAATGATCTCGTTCCATCGGTGAGAGTAGGTGGGTAAGCTTATGCTTGTGCCTGTAATACACGTCCTCTTGTGCATCCGGCTTATCGTAACTATCATCATCTTGCCGGGTTTCAAAGGATTTTTTGATGTCTGGACGTATCCGTCAGTAGTGAAGAAATAGTGCGTGTGCGACTGCTCTCCTCCCCTGGCGACATTCCGGCAGGTGCGTTTCCAGCCCTCACTTGGCAATTTGCCTTCGAGTCCGCAGCTGTTCTGAACTGCAAGCCAAGGTTTCGCGATGCGTCTCTACTGCGTGGTGCTAATGGCGATCGCTGCTCTCACAGCAAGCGCCGAGTCTGCTGCCACGACCGACCGCAAACTAATCACGGCATCCAAGCTTGAAACCCGCCAGTCGAACGGCGAGAGATTCCTGCGGACGTCCAAGCTTACTGCTGACCAAGACGATGAAGACAGCGACGAAGAGAGAGTTTTCGGCCTCAAGTTAAAGTCCGCCAACGCCGAGCAAATCAAGGATTGGCTTCTATTCCGTAATTCGGCCGACGACATCTTCACCTACTTAAAGCTTGACGCTGGAGTGGACAAGGTCCTGTCAAGCAAGCACTTCCCGCTCTGGAGGGAATACGTCGGTGTGCTTAACAAGGGCGAGTCGCCCGAGAAGGCAATCATCCCGATCTTGGTCAACAAGTACAAGGCTGAATCTGTTGCGGAGATGCTTCAGGCAGCCAAAAAGGGTTGGGCCACGAAGAACATGGCTACAAAACTGGAGCACGCGCAGTTCGAGACGTGGTTCAAGCAGGAAGTGCGTGTACAAGAAAGTTTTCGGAGGAAGGATCAACGTCGTCACGGAACGAGCCAAAGACGAATATCGGGCTTTCTTGAACAAATTGGTTTGATGTCTTGGTCAAGCCGCACATGGTTCGCAGAACCACGTGAATATGCGCTGCTTCAATGCACAGCGTGTAAATAAAAGGTCTTTTGAACATTTGACTTTCCAGCAGGACGACTTGTATGCACGCACCCCACAGTAAACATATTCCTGCGCAGTCGATTTGTTTCTGTTGAACCGGATCGCGCTGGGGGCATTCGGTGATAATATTGACTGTTTGGCAGCTTTCAGCCAGAAGGCTTTTATGGGCGAAAAGTGAGCAGTTGCATCAGCGGCTAAGCAACGACAAGGCGTCAAGCGAGCTGTTCAAGCTCGACACAGCAGGGGACAAGCTTTTGGAAATTGAAATTGTTGCGGTTTAGACGGCTAACTACACCCGATGCCGCGCACTGCTGCAGCTTCGCCGGGCCTCCAGGGCACGTGCCCGCGGTAGTAGCCCAAACACACGGGTATACATACACCAACCAAATGCCACTAGGGCATTCGACCGAGATATACCCCTACGATATGCAATTGCTAAAAGAGATATGCAACCCCTCCTTCTCGCGCTTCGTCGGTCCGAAGCCCACCACCTCGACGCGTCCCTCCAAACCCTTGTTCACCCTTGTCCCTCACTTCCGCCTTGCACTACGTCGATCCAGTGCTCACCACTGCGCCACGCTCGTCGGAATTATATCGCGACGCCACCATTGCCTTGCAAGCTAGCATGGCCAGCAGCTTTCTCTCTCTCCGCAGTCTCGCGCTTCATCGTCACCATTTCATCATATATAGGACAAGCTCTTGGAGAGTCCATACCAGAGCTCGCAATCAGCGAAACTCGGGTACCCGCGCCCACCCGACGGGTAAAATTTGAGCTAATATACTCTGTGTGGTGGTACATTCTACCAACCGTCAAAGCTAAGTATATGAAAGAAGTAATAATGTATATTATGAAAAAAGCTCGTTTCCCCCTGTGAATTCTGGTATTGTGTCCATTAAATCAGGTCCGCATTAGACCGCATCGTTAGCGTCTTCGTGTGATCCTTATCAACAGTAGAGACTTCATGTCGTGCATTAGGGAAGCTTCTCGGTCTCCATGCTTGGATGTTGGGTCAATACAGACTATAAGTTCATAAGAGTAGGGATGCGAAACCTCTCACTCATTTCTATCCTTACTCTCGGGTACCCGAGCTTCACCCGGGGACTGTTTCGGGTACCCGCACTCGGGTACATCCCGTACGTACCCGGTTCGGGTACCCGATTGCGAGCTCTGGTCCATACATCGGCAGTTGGATCAAGTATGCAACAAGAACAACGACAAGAAGCTATAATATTCTACGAAGACGACGCGCTGGCGAAGATGGACCCTGTCGCAGAGAAGAATCCGAGGACAATTAAAAACGTCTGCGAACGGAAGGCGAGCTCCTCAAGGGCTGGGTGCGTGTGCATACTCCAAACAAGGTGTTCAAGAGTCTAAAACTTGACGAAGTGGGCGCAAAGGTGTTGGAGAGCCCGCTGTTTTAACAGCGAGCTTAACAGCTACTTTAGTGTCAAGTTCATCGACCACTTCAACGAGGGGAAGCCCAGAAATTCGGATACGAAAGGGTGGGTATTTTTCGTTGGTGAGCCAGACCTCCTTCGCCGCTGCAAGAATCGCATCCAGGGTTCGCTCTGAGTCAAGGCCGAGACGATTGTCGTCTCCCCACCGCCGTTGAGCTAGCTTCAGCGGCAAGAATCTGATCAAAATACTCATTGCAGCGAAGGAAGTTCCGAGTACGCAGAAGGTGGCTACGGACTTGCAGACCGCGGGTTATGGTGTCGAGAATTGCCTCAAAGATCACCGTGAGTGATGGTCTCCTCGTCGCAAGCACCGTCGCACGTCCCGGTGTTGAAGTTGTGGTCCACACCACATGTCGGCGATGGATCGTGGCGTCGATGCGTCGCAGAGGTTTCGCACCTAAGACGCACCTACCTTACGTTCGCGTACCTACGAGTCTTCGGCGACTCTTCGATGGCGACTGTTGGTGCTAGAAGATCCGAAACGGACACGTTTAGACTTAGTATTTGTATTGGACTATAGGAAAGACAAGATAGAACACATAAGCCCTTTGGGCAACAACACAGAACAGCTTTTCCTCTCAACTGCGCAAGGAAGACGCCAGCGCACGGTGGACGACCCGTGACCAAGGTAAACCTGGTTAGGGGGATCATGCCTGTCGGTGAGCACGCCTACTAGTATCGTAGCGAGTGTTCATCCGGCAGGGTCAAGAGCAGAGTAGAAGGAGATTGGCCGTGTATACGAAGGGCGAATTGTCGCCGTATATTGGGTTAGAGCTTAAGTGCTTCCCATTGATATCTTACCGTCGGAGATTTCTCTGACACCCTCGCGAACAGCCTACCAGAGGCCAGGACCCTTCCTTTGGAGGGACCGTGAGGTTAGTGTGAGCACTCCAGTCGTCGTTCGTGACTGGAGGTGCTGAGGCTTTGCTGGTTGCCTATAGAAACCGCGGTGCACAAGGGGAAACGACCAACCCGAGGAACGGGTGTGAAGCTGGGACTTTAGGTTCATATTCATTAACCCGACAAGCCTGCTGAGTTATCGCTACTCATCGTGACTCAGTGGGTGTTGTCTTAAGGGATTGTGCCTACATCTACTAGAAAATCGGTGTGTTCCTACACGACAGGGTACTGGACAAAGCGTCTCTGACAGCCGTCTCCCAGGCGAGGAGTGGCGAGTAGCACAACGGCGAAGCTCCTGGGAACATACTCGGCCATATTCAAGGAGCCTGGGGGCAACTTGATCTCAGGAGGCCTTACCCATGGATAGTATTCTAGCGAGGTTCACTTTGTATTTGATATTGTTAGGTATACTTCGCTCAACCAATGTTTTTACATGGCTTAAAAGGCTAAAACTAAAGCTTAAACGCACTTTCGAAAGCAAAAAAGTAGGTGTGAGGCGGCGACCCGAGAAAAATAGGTGCATCGCTTTGTCAGGAAGGGCATTGCAGCTTCGATCGGGGCTTGATATCGGTCTTTACTGCTAAAATCTTCTTCAGTTCGATGTGGTGTGTACTGAGGTGAAGGTACAGTGCAATAGTAAGTCGATGCTGTGCGGCTGGTATGGTGTACAGTACAAGGGGCATGGTGATGGGGAGTGCAGCAGAGTCCTAACTGAAAGCAACTGCAACCAGCAATCCTAGAATCTTTTTGCGATTTGTCGCCCGACAGTCAACGGACGATGAAACAAATACTAGCACTTCGTCATAGATAAAATGCACAAGAACCATCAAATCCAACAATGCGCTCATGTTTTCTTTGCCTTGTTGGTACAATAGCGATACCCTCAAACGTTCATCTCCATCTCCGCTGCTGCCTCGCTTGCAGGGGCCCACATGTGATACTGCATTCATCCGTTGAGCATCCCAAACGCATGCACCCGTGTTGTTGTTATATAGGTCGAGGGGATGGAGGTGGCGGGTGGAGCTCGTCCAGGATCGAATCCAGCCCGTTGGCTTTGGCGACAGTCTCCAAGTCCGTCGCGAACGAGGTGAACGGCACCAACGCAGACTCGTCCGTCCGCTCCACGACATACATTAGATGGCGTGCCTTCTTCTTCGGATCGGTCAGCGTAATGCCAGCGTGATCGACGAATGTGTCGAAATTGAACCATTTTTCACAGCAGGTGCAAGTGACTTGGCGTGTCATGGTCGCGGACCGATTGAAGGCCAACCATCCGGACTTGCGCGGGAACGAGTCGTCGGGGACCGAAGTGTTCGACCTCACCACGCGGTCTACTAGGCTCCCGTTCGACATGTTCATCACGTACTTGGGCGACAGACACACCACCTGCGCCAAAAAGTCCAGAGTTGGCGGGTCCGACAAGCGCGCCGCAGTTGAAGTCTTGTCACTTCGAGGCTTGGGGCGTTTGAATAGCGCGAGCACACGGAGTCTGGATACTGTGGCTGGCAGCGCTTCCGCGGCGGCCTCCGGGTTCGTCATGGTCATCGTGGGGATTGCGACAGCTGCAGCCGCCTCCTGCCTCACCGCGTGCCCTCTGCGCGACTTGGTGGGCGTGTTATTCGCGCTCTGACGACCAGCCCAACTCCTAAGAGCGGGCAGGAAATCGTCGAGTGGTGTGTGGAGCGAAGTGTCCCGGTGCTCGACGAACAAGTACGGCATCGGGTCTTCCGTCGCACACTTCGCGTCCTTGACCAAGCTGCTGTCGGTGTGGTGCACGAACTCGGGATAGCTGAACAGCTTATCGCAGCACGCGCACTGAATGACGGCACTCTTCTTGAGCGACCACTTGCACGTCCCCAGCTTCATCATACCCGAGACGCGCAGACTCGTTGTCCGAGAGCACACGATCGGGAAGCACCAGCGCTCAGTCTTGGGTTCGTGGTGTACGCGCACTGCGCCAACAAGCTCGTCCCCTTTCAGATCAGGCTGCTCGGGCTCTCCAACAGGCTCGTACTTCACCTTCACGGGCTGTTCTTCCTGCTTTTGAGAGGACATCGGTTCCTGGTTTACCTGAGGCTCTGCTCGCTCTTTCTTGACAGCAGCAGCATATTGCTGCAGCTCTGCCTGGTTCTTGGTCTCTTGATGCTGCGTGGCAGCTTCTGCTGAGTGCGACTCCTGTTGTCGCTTCGCTATCTCGCTGACCTGTTGCTCCATTTCCAGTTCATTTGCAGTCTTCTCGGCACTTCCTGGCTCTCCTGAAGCAGCAACCCCGTCGTCCACGTCCATTGGCTCCGCCTTGGTCTCGCTTTCCGATTTTACTACGTCGTTTTTCTCGCCATCAACCGCATCCACAGGGCCGGCGTTATTATTCTTTACCGTTTTCACATCACGACCTTCGGCATTGTTGTCTTCTTCCATCTTCACGTCAAGACTCTCAGGTGACACTCCCCGTGACGTTGGAGGCTGTGTTGTCCGCGCGTTAAGCACTCCTTCATCCAGCGCTGCGCTGCCTCCTCGTGTACGTCGGCTGCGTGACGTCGAGTTGGAGCGGCTAGGCGTCGAAGTCGGCGGTGGCTTCGCAGTGCCGCTCTTCTTGCTTTTGTCCTTCTGGTCCTTCTTGCGCTGCTTCTCTAGCTCCATGTCGTTCATCATCTGCACCAGCTTCCGCTGCCGGTAGAAAATCACCTTCTCAGGCTGCGCGCACGTGGGACAGTCACACTCCCAGAGATAACCGCCGCTCTCGCAAAAATCCACAAACGCAGCTCTACACGACGCACACCGGAAGATGTTGCCGCGACGCTCAGGCGCCTTGAGCTGCAGTTCCTCCAGCTGGTCCAGAATCGGCACCTTCGCATCAACGTACGGCTTGAACGCGTGCCAGAAGCACTTGGCGTGGTACACCCGACGACACGCGTGGCAGTGCATCAGCACGCACACATTGTCCGCCTTCCTGCAGAACTCACAGTGGCGGGCGTCATCTCCTGCTCCCTCTTCCGCCGAATGCTTCGCCTTGGTGGGCTTTGTGGCTAACTTGTTCTTATTCTTGGCCTTGTTCTTGCTCTTGTTCTTCAGCTTGAGCTCGGGACTTGAGGTCGTGAACGGCAGCGGCGGCAGGTCCGTGATGATCGGAGCAGCTTCAAACACGGGCGCTTGTCGCCGCTTCTTGCCTCGCTGCGGCTGCTGCTCGGCACTAGCGAGCTCCAGCATATCCTGCGCCACATTCTTGCTACCCACCACTCGAGACCTCTTAGCGGGAGGTGTAGCCATCTCACCCGACCGCTTCTTGTCACTAGTCCTGGACTCCACTATCTGCTGTTCCTGCTTCATGGGTCGCACCAAAGCTGTCGCCATGAGCATGCCCAGCGAACCTTCTTCCTCTTTAGCCTGTCGCGCCATTCCGGCGTTCGCAGCCGCAGCTGCAGCTCTGGACGGTCTTCTTCTGCCTTCCGCAGCTGGAGGCTGCTCTTCCTTCATCATGGCTACATCTTTGTCTTCATCAGGCAGAATGGCTACATCTTGCGTCTTGGCTTCATGTACTACTACTGGGGCGGGTTGTGGTGGTTTGCTGGCTGCTGCCTCGCTCGCGGCCTTGGCAAACACGACGCTCAATGGCGTTTCCTCGTCTTTGGCCTGCTTCACCATCTCGGCATTGGCCGCTGCAGCTGCAGCTCTCGGGTGGCTGGTGCGGCTACTGACACCGTCTGCGCTGCTCTTCATGGCTACACTCTGGGCGTCAATCTGGGTCTGCTTCTGCTGCGTCTCCTGCGTCTCCGAAGCCACCTCCGCGCTTGCAACTTGGTCGGCGTCTGCTCCGGCGTCTTGCAGAGGCAGCGACACCGTAAGATCTGCCGTCTGTTGCGTCTCTGGCTGCGCAGGAGTCTCCGCGCTCGTGGTGGCCATGAAGTGTCGGGCCACTTGCTGGAGTACGGGAAGGAAGGCCTGGTGATTGGCTTAAAACCTGGACCTCATGAACATCATAGCATGATGGGAGTTAGGCCTTCAGATGGTGACGCACATGGCTACATGTAGGCAGTGTAGCCATTTATAGACGTTGAAGTTGTCGGAGCTTTTCAACGCTATTGTACAGGTTTGCGATGCACCCGAAGACTCCATCGACGCCTAAAGGCCGAGGAAAAGGCCGCGGACGTAGTGATCGCGGGCGAATCGTGAGCGTGAAAGTCACTCCGAGAGCCAAGACGCCTCTGACGAGCTCAGCAGTCACTGCTGCCGCTGTATCGGAGACCAACGAGTCCGCGGACGATTCCAATGAGACCACTACTACGAGCTCCAGCTCTGCTCCTAGCGAGAGCCAACCCGGTAGACTGCGGGGCTTCAGTCGAGCCGCGCAGTCGATCATCTCCATGCGCAAGCTGCAGAAGTCCATGGAGGACGTGGCGGACGCGGAGCAGCAGCAGCAGCCGACCGATTCGTGGTCCTCGGTCATGTCGAGTGTGGTGCGCAGGGTGAGTCGACACAACAACGCAGTCGATACGGGTTTTGGACACGCGTCCAACTCGACTGGAGCGGGGGCTGCCGCGTCAGAGAAGCGCATCTCGCTGGCGCAGATGCTCAAGAGCCGGGAGATGAAGAACCTGGTGCAGCAGGCGCTGGTCGCCAACAAGCAGCTCGGACGCGCGGCTACGATTCCCGAGGAGCAGTCGAGGGTCATGGCGCACTGGATCAAGCTGTTGACGCTGAGGCGCAAGCAGCTCGAGCCGGACGAAGACGGCGCGGCAGGTAGCAGTTCGGGCAGAGCGGACAACAACGAAGAGGAGGAAGACGGCGAGGCCTGGGAGGAGCTTGACGGCGTGCACTCGGGTTTCGACCTGGACGAGACGTCCAAGGGCCATCACCTGTACGGCCGCACGCTCATACTGGAGGAGTCCTGCCGCCGCGCGCTCGCGCAGGACGGCGAGCAGCGCTCGCAGATGGACCTGCAGGCGCTCGGCGTGTGGTTCCAGACCACCAAGCTCAAGATCACGACCGACTTCGAGCGACTGCAGCCGTCCGAGCTCGACCTGCTCTGTCGACGCATGACGTGCGTGACGTTCCACCCGGACGAGACCATCTTCTGCCAAGGCGACGAAGGCGACGCGCTCTACACCGTCTTCAGCGGGACGGTGGAGGTGCGCGTGAGCCAGCGGATCCTCGGAGAGGTGGTGGAAGTCACGGTATGCGAGCTCGGCAAGGGCGACTACTTCGGCGAGCGCTCACTGCTCAACAACGACGTGCGCGCGGCTACGGTGCTGTCCAAGAGCGCTACGGAGCTCGTCAAGATCACGCGGAACGACTACAACTTGATGCTCAAGAACGACCAGCTGGAGTTCCTCTCGCGTATGCAGATCGCCAACGGCATCGGCGTGCAGCGCCCCGTGCAGCGCACCCAGCGCGAGTACGTCAAGGTGCTGACCAAGAAGAAGCACGCGCGTACGAAAGCGGACATCGACATGCTCAGCGAGTACCTCCAGACGCTCAAGTTCTTCCGGAGTTTGCCGAAGACTTTCGTCCGCGAGCTCTGTCTCGTCGTTGACTTCCTCACGTTGCCTGCGGGGGCCTGTGTGTTCCGAGAGGGGGAAGTGGGGGACTTGTTCTACATCATTTTCAGCGGCTCCGTGGACGTCAACATCAACTCGAAGGACTTCAAAGGCAACGTGCAGATGACCAAGCTCGTGAATCTAACAGAAGGAGCTCACTTTGGAGAGCTCGCGCTGATGAAAGGCCGAGGCGTGCGCAGCGCGACGGTCATCACGCGAGAAGAGTGTCAATTGTTGGTGATCTGTGAGAAGGACTATAACTCGACGCTGCGTCGGATGCAGAAGAAGGATATGGCCAAGCGGGTGGGCGTGCTAGACCAGATCCCGATGTTCCAGACGCCCGAGTGGACGGGGGAGCTGCTCAAAGAGCTGTCGTACGTGCTGCTGGAGCAGAAATTGTCTACAGGCAGTGTTCTGTACCGTCAAGGGGATCGCGCCACGCACGTCTACTTCGTTGTACGCGGCGAGCTCGTCGTCACGAAGGAAATCGCAGATCCGTTCACTCAAGTGAGGCACGAGGTTTTCGTTGAGCGTATCGGTCGCTTCCGGGTGGTCGGCGATGACGCGTACGTAGTACGTTTGACACTACTATCTACATGTTGTGTGCTAATTGGCGGGGATTGTGCGTTAACTGTAGCGCTGCGGGGGCGAATTTCAACGAGGTGATTCATCGAGAAGTGACCGTGAGCGCGAGTACTCCAGTGGAGGTGCTACTTCTGTCAAAGTACGACGTCTTCCATCGTCTGTCGCGTTCGGCTCGAGAAACCTTGCGCGCTGCAGCCCAGTCGCACGCGGAGAGCATCGTGTACTTGGATCGTTTCCACAAGACGCAGAAGTGGGAAGCGTACAAGCAGAAGGTGCTCCGAGAACATGTAAACCACGAACGCATTGAGAAGATTTTGCCGTCTGCTCCGGCGGCAACGCGCCGCGGTGCAACTAAAGAACCCTCTACCGGAACTACCGCAAAGATCTCGCAGACACGGCAAGCTGCGGCAGCCCAAACGCCGGAGTCGAGGCGGACTTCAAAGACAACCGAGTCGGAGAAAGTATCTCAACCCTCAGGAGGGGCGACGCTCCCTCGACTTCCTCTTGCTCCTGTGAGCGAGGATAAATCTCCCGATACTTCTCGCAGTACGGCCTCGAGCAATAACACAGCGAGGCAAGCCCTGGTCCCAGCGAACGAGTTGCTGCTGCTGGCTCAAGAGACTAAGGCCATGAAGAAATGTTTCAATCCAGACCAAACACTCGGCAACTACGTCGCATCCTTCAACGTGGACGCACCACCCAGCGTCGCCCGGCAGCGACAGCTAGACGGTGTCTTGGCAGCCGAGGAGCGCCGACAAGCTGAAGTCTTGAAGGAGGGCAACCCGCTGGCATTTTTCGACATCAAAGTGGTCGAGAAGCAGATTGGTACGACGTGGAATCGCACGGCAAAGCACCTGGAGGAGGTTGAGCAGAGCATTGGCGACGAACAAGCACCGGAAACCTGTCGGTCCTCTCGATCTTCTTCGGTATCACCGCTGCGCCAGCCGTCTCCGAGTGTACGAAACTCGAACCAAAGCTTAACGATCACGTCACAAGCCTTGAGTCAACTTCTGCAAGAAAACTTCATCTTCTCTCGTCCTCCAGGAAGCAAACCGCAAGCCCCCGATGTCCGAAACGGGAGAGTACAACAGCGCAAGGCCACCTCCACTTCACCAACGCGAAAACCCTCCGCCTCCCCATCGAAGGCGTATTCACCGTCCCGCTTTACTGCGCAGACCGAGAGTACGAGTGAGGCAGATTATGCGGTCTTTGTCATCCTAGACGAGAGCGGCGAGGAGCGAACAGAGGCGACTTTTGCTCCCAAAAAGTCTCCAGCTTTTCAAATTCTGCAGTCAGCTAGGTCTCTCTTTGCGGTTCGTGAAGCAGCCGAGAGGTTCCAGGAGAGCATGGGAGTGACGAACCTCAAGTACTTCGCTTTACCGCTCAAGACGTACGCGCTGATGCCGCGTGCCGATCGATCGAAAGTTGACGAGGAGCGACTCCAGCTACAGCAAGTGGCAGAAATGAGTGGCAATAGTCCACGGATGAGATCGATGTCTACGTGCAGCCCGCTCATTGAAGAGTCTACGAACTCGCTTCACTCAAGTGCAGGAGACGGTGGCGTGCACTTCGCGTCATTCCAAGAAGTGGCGATGTCTCGGGTTCCTAGCGTGTCGAACAACAATGAAGCTCGACCATCTCTGCCTGGCAGCGTCACCGACGTGATCGATCAACCACGACCGCCCATGCCACCCCGAAGGAAAACTTTCAATTCAGGCACCACCACGGCTCGATGCACTTTTGCGGTTGCGAGTGTGGTGCTGTCGAAGCTTGAGGCGGCCCATGCGCAGTACGAGGAGCCGTTCGTGGCCGTGCACGAGCTCTTTTCCTCAGAAATGGAGGCGGTGACCTTCGCTATGAACATCAAGGCCTCCCAGCTGCTTAAGAGCGCCATGTTGTGCATCTTTCCCGTGGGCAAGTGGATCTACCTCGAGCACGCGCATGACTGGTGTGTGCAAGTGGAAGCCAACAAGCGCGAGAAGCGCGCTCCATCCTTGACTGGAGTATCATCGCCTACGTCGTCTCCGACGCGCTCGAGGCGGTTGTCGCTCGTGGTGGAGCCCCCGAAGCCCATTTGGGAGCAAGAGCGCGACGACGCTCGTCGTCTTCACAACTTTATCTGCGCTCGCATGGGTGCCCCCATGGCCGACAAGAAGAAGGATCGGACGGAAGAGAGCGGCGGCTTCACCCCGCAGCCACTCGTCTCTCTAGAGGACAAACTTGACACGCTTCACAATTATCTGCAAGCGACCGCAGCATTCACGGCTCGAACCGGTCACGGAGGTGTGGCGATGCTCAAGTACCGGCAAGTCAAGCGCTTTGACTCCATTATGAGGTCACGCATTTCGGGTGCACAGCCTCACGGCAATAGCAATAGCAACAGCAACAGCAGCAGTGGGAACTCACCGTCACCACGTACCTCGTTCTCCCATGTCATTTCTAGTTAAAACTTCGTGTGGCATTCCCAGTAACATTTTTTTTTTTGTTAATTTGGCGTATCACGGTGACGTGCATGTCTGTAGGATTTACACCGTTAGTTCGCTGTTCACGACCTTTACCAAGTTTATAGACGCATAACACGCGAAGAATTTGGGCTCGAAAATGACAACGGGCTGGATTATGAGCGCTCACTAAGACGATTTCGACGTAGCCAAGACGATTCTTGCAGCGGAAAAGGTCCCAAGCTCTGCCGCTGCTGCAATGCGGATGGAAGCTGTGCTGTTCAAGAGCTTGATGGCTGCCACCAACGGCCCCGACCACGCTTTCAAAATGCTAAAGCTCGGTCAGGTGGGAACTGAACAGCTCTTCCTGGACCCAATGTTCTTATACTGGATGAAGTTCATGGATGGCTTCAACAAAACCTTCCCCGGCGAGAATATTCGGCGTACGATCTTGACCACAGCTTACAAGGACCAAGACCTTTGGACAGCGATTCAAGCCGTGAAGAAGAACCCGTCGACGGGGGCCAAGTTAGAGACTGAGAGGCTCAAGCAGTTCATCTTTGCTGAGAAGCAGCCGATCAATGTGGCAAAGTTGATGAATGTGAGGAAAAAGACTGACTCGAACTGGAAGTTCCGGAAGTCGTACCTGAAGGACTACAACAAGTATCGTCTGATGGACTACAACAAGAATCACCTGATCAAAACGTAGATCAACCGCTACTCATGGGCAGCGTTCAGTACTGTATATCGATTCGTATACTTCACGGTTTGTCACGTTGGCAAGCTGCTTTGGGCCAAGCTGCCAAGACGTACAGTATACCAGTGGCAATACCGAAGTTATCTGAGAATAACCCAATATAAACACCTTGCAATTATCTCCTCGAATCTACAGTAGAACCAACAAATATTCCTCAAGCCCAGCGTATTCCGCAAACATTATAGTGACTTTCACAATACACTGAGTCGCTGTAAATGTTGTTTGCAAACGCGTTTGTATTTTGCTGTTCTATCACTACATGTAGCGTTTAAGCTCATGGCTCTTTAAGCGAACTGTTATTGGTTGTCGAATCCATATTCCAAAGGAGGATAACTTCTGGCATAAAAAGAGCTTCAAGATGAACGATTAAGAAACGCATACTTGTACATGTTAGCCAGATTCACTATACACTACCCAAGAGCTTGCAAGTGCTAGTTAAAAAAAGTTGTACACTTGATGTTTGTGCGAACACTACACAATCCGAAATCTAGCCGACCAAAAATACTGGGCCTCAAGTCAACAGCAGTGGCGTGCCTCCGGCCCGAGGAAGCTATGAAAGTTGAGACTTTTAAAAGTAAATTATTATTAGAGAACTGTAGTTTCTGAAGTATTTCAACTTTCGGAGCTAAAATGGCGTTGCTCCAAAAATAGACTCCTTGGAGTTACAGGGGTACCCGGAGTTAAGTATTGGGTATCCGCCGGTATTTTATCCGTAATATATTTCCGGATTATCTGAGATAATCCGGATTTTATGTAGCTCCAAGTCCAAAAATTTTGGACCAAAATAGCTCCAGAAACTGCAGTTCTCTGATGAATGGTGAAAGCTCAGAAGGAAATATTATGTTTTGCTTTGGTTGCACGTTATGGTTGATCTACCCACGGAACTTGCCCTGAACAAGGCTTAGTGGCACGCTTAATTTTCGTAGGTGCCTCATTCTTCACTTCTATATACTTGCACTAGTAATAGAGGTGTCTCTCAATGATGTTATGCTCCGTGTCTACATGTACAGTAGACCATTCCGTACCCAAGAACGTCTAGTTCTTGGGTACGGAATGGCCAACAACGCGCCCCATATCCAGGTCCGCGCTAGGTCGCTTGAATATTGGCGCTCGACACAACCTGTCGCCACAGGTAACATTCACCTATGGGGTATGCCTCTTCAATCACTCCAGTGCACTGTAGTTTGACTTGCCATTTATATGAAAAACCTCCCATGCTGCAAGATGTCGATGAATCAAGTTGGTCAGTAGGGGGAAAGGGATTATTCATACAGTGATTCCTTAACTCTGAAATAAATTTCAGGGAACATCTTCAACTCGAACAGTGCACTACATGCACCGGTAAGTTAGCTCAAAGCAACCAACTTACCAGGCCAAGGGTCCGTTTGCCTCACAGACGTTTGTGTGAGTCAACAGCGCCGGGGAGACCAGAACGGAACGCCGCAGCTCGGTTCGTGAAAACCATCGGATCGCATGACAAAGTGTAAAACAAGCAATTTTACCGACTGCATCTGCCCCCAATGGATTTTGATCGACCAGCGCACGTTTCATCATCTGGGGGCCCAGCTGCATGGCATCGGATCCTTAGAAGCCCGTGATCCCCACGCAGTGACAAATCAACATGCGTGCTTTGAACGTGGCATGATCACCGTACCCCTCGAAGCTCGCTGTCAAGATCGTTTGGGCCGGCGTGCTACTGCGAGAGCCCAAAGGTTGAAACGCCACCTTCAACGCCAGAATGGTACAGGGTACCACCCAAAGGTCGGACCAACCGTGTGGCCCACACTATCCTGTGTTCTACACATCACAAATCAACTGATGTGACCTCGTCCCGACACGGCGAAACGCTGGGACCCCAGCTCAACCAGGCGCCTATCGACTGCGAGTTTAACAGCAAACCTTCGACTCCATTCCTTCCATGTACAGTAATGGTGGGAGGAGGTGGCTACAGGACTGAACAACATACCATACCCATACCCATGCCCAGCGGATCCCTGCGGTCACGACGACAACCTCACACCAGCAGCCACAAAGCGCACTGTCGAATTGATTAGCGGTCGTCTCCACGAGCAATGCGCGGCTGCAAACAGCAGCCAGCAACGACAGCAACAGCAGCAGCAGCTTCGAGCCCACAACAACAGCGCCTTGAAATGGGCGCCCGGGCTCTGTCCGCAGTGCGGGGCCTGCCTTTCGTGGCGTGCAAGTCGCCAACTGGCTCGTTTCCCCCACACTTCAAGCTTTTTATGTCGTCTCGCGCGCCTCCCATTGGCCAAAACTCCACCGGGCGTGACATAAGTGGAACAATTTCAACGGTCAGGGCTAGGGCCATTCAGTGCAAGTCTATTTTGCGCCGTTGGGCTGGGCCTCTCCCCCGCAGTCTGGTCCCTGCCCTGCCAGCCTGCTGCCAGTCCGCCTCACAATTAGACCGGCCCACGCCAGCAGCACCTCCGTCTCGCCCCTGCATAGTGACAGGTATAGCTTAGCTACAGGCAGGCAGGGAAGACGCGCAATGGCGGCCAAGCGCAGCACGTCGCGCATCTTCCGCGGCTCGCGGGTCGAGGACGAGGTGGCGCTGTGCGCGAGCGTGGCGCCCGCGGGCGTCTCGTCCGCCTCGTCCTCGTCGGACGCCGGCGAGCTCGCGCTGGGCTCGAGCACGAGCGGTTACAACACGCTGGGCAGCCCCGCGCCCGTGCTGCAGTCGCCGCGCCAGGTGCGACGCAAGAGCCGAAGGGACCACGAGCAGATCCCGGACGAGGACGAGCTCGTGGACTACGCGGCGCAGCACACGCCCGCTGGGGCGGTTAACACGGTCAACACAGGAGCAACCACAGCAGCGGCAGCAGCAGCAGGAGGACACGCAGACAATGAGCCGCTGAGAGAGGTCTACTTCAACTACGCGCCGGGCAACGCGGTGTTCGACAAGTGCTCGAACGTCGTGGTGACGTCCAAGTACTCGCTCGTGACGTTCCTGCCCAAGTTCGTCAAGGAGAGCTTCAGCAAGGTGGCCAACTTCTTCTTCCTCATGGTCTGCGTGCTGCAGAGCATCCCGAGCATCAGCAACACGTACGGCTACCCGACGAACGCGCCCGTGCTCTTCTTCGTCATCTCGATCGACGCCGTGTTCGCCGTCATGGAGGACCTGAGACGCCACAAGTCGGACAACGAGGCCAACTCGGCCACGTGCCACGTCATCCAGGACGGACACGTCGTGGACCGCAAGTGGGCGGACATTAAGGTCGGCGATTTCCTGCAGATCCGCAACCGAGAGGTGATCCCGGCCGACGTGCTGGTGCTCGCAGTGTCGGAGCCCGTGGGGGAGCCGCCCAGCGGCATCTGCTACGTCGAGACCAAGAGTCTGGACGGAGAGACGAACCTCAAGCTGCGCCAGGCCGTGGCCGCCACCATGAGCTCGCTGGCCAACGCGGCCGAGCTGGCGCTGCTGCGCGGCGTGGTCAAGTGCGAGCAGCCCAACCCGCACATCAACAAGTTCGCCGGCAAGGTGGAGGTGACGGTGGGCGACGGCTGCGGCGTCGAGGTCATGCCGCTCTCGGTCAAGAACGTGCTGCTGCGCGGCTGCAACCTGCGCAACACGGACTGGGTCTTCGGCCTCGTGCTGAATACCGGTAACGACACCAAGATCATGCAGAGCGCCAGCGCCGCGCCCTCCAAGTGGAGCGACCTCATGCTGCACATCAACCGCATGATCGTGATCCTGTGCATGGGGCTCTTCGTGGCCTGCGCGGTGGCCGCGACGTGCTATATTACCTGGCAATACGACATCGTGCGCAACACGTGGTACATCCAGCTCACGGACGCCGAGCGGAACCGCACGCGCTTCGTGGCGTTCATCCAGATGCTGTTCTACTACTTCCTGCTGCTCTACCAGGTGATCCCCATCTCGCTCTACGTGTCCATGACGAGTGTCAAGTTCCTGCAGTCGCGCTTCATGTCGTGGGACCTCGAGATGTATCACGCCGAGACGGACACGCCCGCCATTGTGCGCACCATGGAGCTGAACGAAGAGCTGGGCCAGATCTCGTACGTCTTCAGCGACAAGACCGGCACGCTCACGTGCAACATCATGGAGTTCCGCAAGTGCTCGATCAACGGCACGTCCTACGGCTCCGGCATCACGGAGATCGGACGCGCAGCGCTCGTGCGCGCTGGGAAGCCCATTCCGCCCGAGCCCAAGCTGGACCCGAGCATCAAGAGGATCCCGTTCGTCAACTTTGTGGACAAGGCGCTGTTTGACGGTATGAAGGGCAGCGCTGGGGAGGAGCAGAAGGAGAAGATCTTGCAGTTCTTTGAGCACTTGGCTGTGTGCCACACGGTGATCCCCGAGAAGCTGGAGTCTGGCGAAGTGCGTCTGTCGGCTTCGTCTCCTGATGAGCAGGCTCTGGTGGCGGGCGCAGCGTTCGCAGGCTTCAAGTTCGAGAGCCGTAGCGTGGGAACGGCGACTGTGGAGGTCTTGGGCCAGCGCGTGTCGTACGAGATCCTGGACGTGCTCGAGTTCAACAGTACGAGGAAGCGTATGTCCGTTGTGGTCCGCAAGCCCAGCGGTGAGCTGCTGCTGTACACGAAGGGAGCCGACATGATGATCTACCAGCGCCTGAAGGACGACCCGGCCATGCTGAAGCTCAAGAACATCACGCGCGACCACATGGAGAAGTACGCGGACGACGGCTTGCGGACGCTGGCGCTGGCCATGAAGAAGCTGGACGAGCGCTGGTTCCAGCAGTGGAAGATGCGCTTCGACGACGCGCAGGGCAACGTGGCGGAGATCGACCGACGCAAAGACGGCAAACCGAACGCGATCGATGACCTGATGGAGGAGATCGAGGAGGGACTAGAGCTTATCGGAGCAACGGCTATTGAGGACAAGCTTCAAGATGGCGTGCCGCAGTGCCTAGCTAACTTGACGCGCGCAGGTATCAAGGTCTGGATGCTCACGGGCGACAAGGAGGAGACTGCGATCAACATTTCGTACGCGTGCTCGCTGCTGGACAACTCCATCCAGCAGGTTGTCGTGAACGCGACTACGTGTCCGGACGAGGCCGCGATCCGCGCCAAGTTGAACGCTGCAGCTCGGGAGTTCATGGAGAACGCGAAGGGAGGGATGGCTGGAGGTGGTGAACGTGAGATCTCGTTGATTATCGATGGTGAGGCGCTCGAGATGGCGCTACGACCTGGAACTGCACCCCACTTGCTGTCAGTTGCCAAGCTGTGCCGTGCTGTGATCTGCAACCGCGTGTCTCCTGCCCAGAAGGCCGAGATGGTGAAGCTTGTGAGGGACAACATCACGACTGTGCGCACTCTCGCTATTGGTGACGGCGCCAACGACGTCGCTATGATCCAGGCTGCTCATGTTGGTGTCGGTATATCTGGACAGGAAGGTATGCAGGCTGTGAACTCGAGTGACTACGCCATCGCGCAGTTCCGCTTCTTGGAGCGGCTGCTGCTGGTTCACGGACGCTGGAACTACATTCGTATCTCCAAGCTGGTGCTCTACATGTTCTACAAGAACATCACGCTGGTGCTGGCGCAGTACTGGTACGGCTACCTCTCGGGCGCCTCTGGCTCCAAAATGTACTGGGAGATCGGTGTGCAGCTGTACAACGTGGCGTTCACGGGCCTGCCGATTGTGGTGGTGGGCGTGCTGGACAAGGACCTCCCGGCTCCGTTCAGCCTCGAGTACCCGGACTTGTACCGCCGCGGACCGGAGCGATTCTACTTCAACATGTACACATTCGGCCGCTGGATCGCCGCAGCCTTCTACGAGTCCATGATCATCTTCGTGGTCATGTCGTACGGCTTCAACGCGTCGGAGAAGGCGGCGGGCAGCGAGTCGCGCGTGGAGTTCGGCATGGTGGCGTTCTCGCTGACGGTGTTGATCGTGAACATCAAGATCTGGATGATCGCTGACCGGTGGACGGTGCTGTCGTTCTCTCTGTGGTTCGGCAGCGTCATGTCGTGGTTCATGTTCGCCGCTATCGGCACCGAGACGCCGTACTTTGCCACGTACAAGGTCGGCTACGACGAGTTCGGAGCGTTCGCCCCCACCGCCTGGACGTGGGGCTACTTCCTCGTCCTGGCCATGGGCTGCTCGCTGGCGTTGGGGCGTCACATTGCCTACAACCTGTACCAGCGGACGTTCCACCCGGACCTGGCCCAGCTACTGCAGGAATCTATGGGTGGCACGGCGCAGCGCAAGTACCAGCGACGCCTGACCATCAACCACTCGGAGGAGCAGACGCTATCCATGTCCCTGGACGACGTCCACACCACCGGGTACCTGAGCGACTTCGGACACTCAGACGCCGAGATCCTCAAGGCCCAACACCCGCAGAGCTTCACCGCTGCGACGCTGTACGAGCAGCCGAAGAAGAGCTCCTCGGCTTCCGCGGCCTCCGCCTCCGTCAGCTCTGGAGTCGCCGAGAGCTACTCGGCCAGTGTATTCAGCGAGTCCATCTCCGAGGACGCGACGTGGGAGCGCGTGCCGGCCAAGATGTTCCGGCCCACAACAAGTCGGCGCAACACAGGCTTCGCCTTCAGCTGCGACGAGGAGACAACACTGGCCGAGTCATACATTGCGTCCAACTCGCTGCCGCGCTCGGACGCCATCTCGACGGCCATGCGGAACTCGACCTCAAGCTCAACAGGTGGCGCCAGCGCGCGCAGAGTCTCAATGGGCCGCGTGCGCCTGCTGTCCTAGTCGACGGAAAGGCGTACTTACTTTACAACAGGCCTACCTACATTACCCCCCAAGTTCCTCGAAAACGCCACAAGCAGATCGTCCATTATCTTGACGGAGTCCGAGGCCGCTCGTGCTCGTCTCCGTAGCGCAACCTTGCACTGTATTTAAGAGCGTTAAGAGGAACCCTTCTTGTCTTTCTATAGTCGTCTTGTGGAGTGCAGCTCGTCGATGGCTTCGCCTTCCCCGCTTGCTTTGTTCGCGTCTTGGCGAAGGCAATAAAATACAAGCTGGCATGGCGTGATCAAGCATTGCCTTGTTCTGATTTACTCGAAGCACTAAAGTAAAAGGAGAAAAACTCCCGCACAGTAGAGCAATCTAAGTCGCGGCAAGTTAAAGTTTCCAAGACACCTCGCTCAGCGACGAGTCATGATCGTCGTTATCTTGTAGAAGGTGGTGTAGTCGCCCAAAACCTGCTCAAGTTTGGGCTCGCTCAATCGGAAACTAGCCATAAATTTGATACGATCAGGACCCCACGTTTCCATTCTGCAAACTGGTGCAACTGCAGATAACGGGCGAAGCTCTGCACTTGCCAGGAATTGTTGGCCGATTTTGCCGAAGCGAGTGCCATAGCGAGGTCCAGAACGCTGTAGTTGTCCTACACACATGCTAAACATCGGACTCTCGAGAAGGTCGCCAACGGGAGTACTCTTCAGCCCCATCAGCTCAAACACTCGGGCCTCACTTTGTACACTGGACATCCACTTTTCCATCAGCATCTTCTCCAGGTTTCCGGAGAGATTTTTCACATCGAAGGGCGGCGACGAAGTTTTACCAGCAGCGACCAGATTCATAAGAGTTTCGTCTTTACGGTGCAGCCTCAGCACTCGAACCATCGAGGCCATCGACTCTTCCGAACTCTGGCTCAACGTCTCTGCGTAGCTGATCCAAGTGCTAAACACAGGGCTGCTGAAGAGCTTGCCCGCTTCATCACCAAGCTTCAGGAGCTTGAACACGTCTTCCACCGTCTTGTGCTTTTCCAACCAGTTGGCGAGCTGAGCTTTCTCCAAGTTACTAGCAGTGGCTGCCAAGCCTTCGACTTCTTTCGCAGCTGCTAGCATTTTGGCCAGGACGCCGTCTCCCACGTGAGCTGCTTGCGTTGTTGCCATGACCATGTCAGCTCGTTCAGGCCTCTTCTTTGTTAATGAGTCTTCGGGAGCGCCGCCAATAGATGCACATGGACGAGGAGAACGTGTGGACACATCCGCCGATGACTCGGAGGATCCGACAGCGACGGGAGAGCCGGCGGCAGCCGGGCTCTGGATATACCAATGGCTGGTCAGGGAGACCCAAGTATACTGAGATCAAGTCAATCGGAACCCGGGAGTAATCCGTCTGATGAGAGGCACCAACGAGCACAAGGAGAACAAGAAGGAAAGCAGGAGGGGAAGACTAGAGAGTAGTTTGAGAGACGATAACATTTAATCTCACTTCGGAATTTGCCCCTCAACCACAAGCTAAAAATCAACAGGTTAACAGCCGCAACAAGCTCAAGCCCTCCCCGACGACCGACATGACGACGTCCAGCAAGAAGGCCGAAGTCATCCTGGGAAGTGACAATTACTTCCACTGGGAGTTCGCGATGTGTATGACGCTCGCGGGGAAGGGGCTGCTGGCGCACGTCCAAGTGGTGAAGGACCCGACGGAGATGACGGAGGCCTGGATGAGCAACGACATGAAGGCGCTCGGTCTGATCGCTCAAGGCGTGGCTGTGGAACACCACACGAAGATTCGGTCGGCGACGTCGGCTATCCAAGCCTGGAATACTCTACGCGAGTTCTACAACCGGACGACGATGCATAATCGGGTCACGATGACTCGTCGGCTCCACGAGTTCAAGATGGAGGACGATGCGACGATGGCGAAGCACCTGAACAAGTTCAACGAGCTCATCGTGGGCCTTCAGACGCTTGGAGAGCCCCTCGATGACTCCCGACAACTCGTCATCCTGCTGAGCAGCTTGCCGGCGGAGTACGAGTTGATCGCATCCATCGTCGAGAACTGGAAGGACGTGACCCTCATCGAGGTGAAGGAGAAGCTGCTCAAGAAGTACGAGCGGCAGGAGAAGAAGGAGACCACGGAGCGCGCGTTGAAGGCTACCTCGTTCGGAGGTAGGGGCCAGAACGGGAAGTTCGGCAAGGGCGGCAAGGCATTCGGCCGCAAGCGCAACGGCGGACGAAAGGTCGGTGGCTTCAAGGGCAAGTGCTTCAACTGTGACCAAGTGGGCCACATGAAGCGGGACTGCCCGGAAAAAGCAAATGCAGACACCGCCGAAGACTCGGTGTTCGCTGTGGCGGAGAATCCATCAGCGGGTTGGCTGATCGATAGTGGGGCGACGGCTCACATGACGCCTCACCGCGATAACTTGTTCGAGTACAACGAGTCGTCGGCGGACATGTATGTGACAATCGCGGACGGGAAGAAGATCCGCGTGGCTGGGAAAGGGTCGGTGCGCCTAACGGGCATCGACGGCAAGCGCATCAAGATGGGGGAGGTGCTCCACATCCCCGGATTCGACCGGCGACTACTCTCGGTTGGGAGGTTGGCTGAAGGCGGCATGAGTGTCGAGTTCCAGCGGAAGTCCTGCGTCGTCTGGGACAAGACGAAGGCGATCGCTTCGGGGAAGAAGGTCGGCAAGGCGTACTTGCTGGACTGCCAGCAGGACATGGTGTATTACACCGAGTACTCGGGAGTCGACGGGAAGTGGGAGCTATGGCACACTCGTATGGGACACTTGAACGGAGACGCTATGGCAAAGACCCGCGAGGCGACGGACGGGCTCCCGACGACTCAACAGCAGACGAAGACCCTGTGCGGAGGATGCATGAAGGGCAAGCAGACGGTCGCACATTTCCCGTCGCGGTCGACGTCGGCGACGACTCGACCACTGGAACTAGTTCATACGGACGTGATGGGTCCTATGAAGACGAAGTCCAAGGGCGGAGCGAGGTATGTGCTCACATTTGTCGACGACTACTCGCGACACGTCGTGGTGTACTTCTTGACCAAGAAGAGCGAGGTCGTGACCAAGTTCAAGTCGTTCATGAAGCTGTACGAGAACCAATGGGGACAGCGCATTAAATGCCTGCGCTCGGACAACGGCACTGAGTTCGTGAACACGCCAATGACTGAGATCTGCCGGGTGAATGGGATTATGCATCAGAAGACGGTCCCATATAGCCCCCAGCAGAACGGCGTGGCTTCGATATGGTGGGCAGAGGCGGTCAGCACTGCTGTCTACCTGATCAACCGGTCGACGAACAGCATGCACCCGACCAAGACTCCGTACGAGTTGACGTTCAAGTCAAAGCCTCGGCTGGATCATCTTCGAGTCTCCGGGTCGATGGGTTACACTCATGTCGACAAGTCGCGACGCACCAAGTTGGAGCCGAAAAGCTTCAAATGTATGTTTCTTGGGTACGCCGACGACTCAAAAGGCTACCGAATGTACGACTTGGAGTCGAACAAGGTGAAGGTATCCAGGTCGGTGAAGCTGGACGAGCGCGAGGTGAACGGCATCTACGACACGTCGCCCAGCGAGAACTCGCCGATCATTGAGTTGACGGAAGATGCCGAGGATGCGGCACTGCCCGAGGAGATACAACGACCTGCCGCCGACGAGCCGATGGAATCAGTGGAAGAGACCGTCGAGGCCACGGAGATGCATGAGGTGGAGACGTCGGAGCCATCCATGCAAGAGCTGACAACGTACCGACGACTCGCGAGACCGGTATTGAATGATGACATGGTCTTCCACCCTGAGCCAGAACGGACCCGGCGCGCCCGAGAACCGGTCCTACTACTTGGAGATGGTTCCGCAGACGGTGAGGAGTCGAAAGAAGATGGTCCCGATGACTCGGACAACGATGATCACTTCAGGCCACCGTCTCCAAAGCGACCCAAGGTGGACGAAGACAGCCTATTGGCTGAGGCGGTGCTAGCCTACGCCGCAGACGTCGGCGATGCCAATGACGCACCCACCACGTATCAGCAGGTCATGCAGAGCGACGAGTCGTCGGAGTGGGTGAAGGCAATGAATGCGGAGCTCAAGGCACACGCGGACAACGGATCATGGACGCTGGTCCGTCGGACACCGAGTGCTCGACCGATCTGTGGTCGCTGGGTGTGCACAAAGAAACGCGACGAGCACGGCCGAGTCATCCGGTATAAGGCCCACCTGGTGGCGAAAGGGTTTAAGCAGAAGTATGGCGTGGACTTCTTCGAGACGTACTCGCCCGTGGCCAACATGAACTCGATCCGAGTGGTGTTGTCGGTTGTGGTGGCCGAGGCGTACATCACCGAGCAGCTGGATGCGGACACCGCCTTTCTCAACAGCGGACTGGTGGAGCGCGTCTACATGGAGGTACCCTACAGAATCATCAACGCGAAGAACATGATGTGTCGGCTGCAGAAGGCGATCTATGGTCTGAAGCAGGCGGCAAATGCCTGGCATAAGACCATCCACCGAGGCTTCGTGGGCATCGGATTTCGGAGCTGCGGCGGGGACCAGTGTGTATACGTCAAGGGCGAGAAGGGCAGGTTCGTGTACGTCTGCCTGTACGTGGACGATATGATCATCGCAGCCAAGACGAGCAGCGAGATCCAGGAAGTCAAGGTGGCGCTCAAGAATGCGTTTAAGATGAAGGAGTTGGGCGAGGCCAAGTTCATTCTCGGTATGGAGATCGACCATGACTCATCGGCGAAGACTCTCATGATCAAGCAGACTCGATACATTGATGATGTGGTGAAGCGGTTCAACCAGCAGGACGCCAAGGTGGTGGTGAACCCGTGCGAGTCGGGCATGAAGTTGTCGAAGACTCAGTCGCCGATGACTCAGAAGGAACGTGAGGAAATGCAGGCGAAGCCCTACCGAGCACTCATTGGCTGTTTGCTGTACATTACAACGTGCACCAGACCTGATGTGGCGTACATCGTGACCCAGTTGTCGCGCTTCCTCGAGAACCCCGGGCAGCAGCACTGGAAGGCTGCCATCCGCGTGCTCAGGTACCTGAAGAGCACCCGAGACATCGGCATCGCCTACAATGGGAACGCTAAGAAGGTCGAGGTGACGGCGTACACCGACGCCGACTGGGGCAGAAATCTCGACGACCGACGCTCGGTGTCGGGCATCATGGTGATGATTAGCGGGGCGCCGGTGGTCTTCAAGTCGACGTACCAGCGCACGGTGGCGCTCAGCTCGGCGGAGGCCGAGTACATGGCGCTGAGCCTGTGCACGCAGGAGGTGCTGTGGACCCGCGCCATGCTCAAGGACATGGGTCACGAGCAAGTGGGAGCTACCCAAGTATGGGAGGACAACCAGGGCGCGATCGCCCTCGCAAGCAACGCTGGGTACAACGCGAGGACCAAGCACGTGGACATCAAGCATCACTTCATCCGCGAAAATGTGTCCCGAGGACTCATCGTCGTCAACTACGTGCCGACGGAGGACCAGCTCGCGGACATGCTTACCAAGGCGTTGGGGACGAAGAGGCTCAAGTACCTGATCAGCGCAAGCGGAATCATCGGGACGGTCGTGCAGCGTTAACGGCGAGTGGGAGTGTTCATGAGTCTTCGGGAGCGCCGCCAATAGATGCACATGGACGAGGAGAACGTGTGGACACATCCGCCGATGACTCGGAGGATCCGACGGCGACGGGAGAGCCGACGGCGACGGGAGAGCCGGCGGCAGCCGGGCTCTGGATATACCAATGGCTGGTCAGGGAGACACAAGTATACTGAGATCAAGTCAATCGGAACCCGGGAGTAATCCGTCTGATGAGAAGCACCAACGAGCACAAGGAGAACAAGAAGGAAAGCAGGAGGGGAAGACTAGAGAGTAGTTTGAGAGACGATAACATTTAATCTCACTTCGGAATTTGCCCCCTCAACCACAAGCTAAAAACCAACATTCTTGTTGGCTTTGAGTACCGCACCGGCCCACGCTTGGAACTCCGCGCTCGCAATCAGGTTCGAGTCGACTTTGTGGACTTTAAACTCGGTGAAGAGCTTGTCGGCTTTGGCTTGCCTCGCCACTTGCTTCAGTTCGCTGATAAGACCCGTCGTCCTCTCTTCAAGTGTATTGTCGTCTCGACCTGCTCGCAAGGTTGGAGGGTGGACAGTTCCCGATACCCCACTAGCGAATACCAATAGAGTGAAGGTAGCCAGGAAGATGGCAGGTCCGAGACGCATGGACTGCTTGGACTTGTTTGGCATTCTGAGCACTTGGACGATGGTTGCGGCAGAAAGCAAAGTGAGAACTGAGAGCTTTCGACGGTGTGGGAATATTGAACGAGTTATCAATTCACTTTCAAGTAACACTGTAAATACAGTACCAGCAAGTGTGTCTCGTACATTCGTGATTGGCCCTGAAGCGAGTAGAGAATGTAAAAGGATGGCCGAATTCGGTTTCAACCGGTTGCATTCGAATGAAATCCGAATGCAACCGGTCAATAAAAATCCGGATTCTGATCCGGGTTCATCCGGATGCAATCCGAATTTGGTTTGGGACATTTCTTTGTACACATTCTGATTTTATCCAATCATGACCACTCAAAAAATGTGTATCATTTATTACCCCGTGGTAGCCGATTGCTGATTTATTCGTATATAGAAGGATACTCCATAATGTAATAAGTCAAACAATCCGAATGCATTCGAATATAACCGAATTTATTCGATTTTCAAACCGGTTGAACCGGATGAAACAGAAATGCCAATCCGATATCCGAATGTCATCCGATTAAATTCTCTAGAAGCGAGGAGTGAGGTCAACGCGTAATAGTGTGGGTGACAGGGGGATTAATCCAATAACCGGCTGGTGACAAGGCAGGATGATCAATTTTTCTGGCAATATGTAATGAGGCAATAGTATTTCTCCTTTCCAGCGGCGAAGAATTAGCTTGGGTACATCATAACTTTACCCCCAGCGTCCATGCATACAGCGTGGTATTTAGCGTTTATTTGGTGAAAAATAATGCGTACGAAAGCAAGGATTGGTCTACACCTTTTCAACTTCATAACTGCAAATTGTAAGTTCAAAACAGCAAAAGGTAAGATCAAAACAACAATACTCTATAGATGTATATTACAAACTGAATGAAATCTATCATCGTATACGATTATAGAGTACAATTTGCCTGTTGGCTAGCTATGCTGCGTGCCAACCAATGAGCTGTGTATAAAAGTACGAAGCTGGTCTGGTCTAGTTTTGAACTTACAATTTGCAGTTTTGAAGTTGAAAAGGTGTACAAGATGGTAGTTTTGAGCGCCAACTACCCATCGCTATACGCGCTGTTGCTAGGCCACGAAACCGTATCACTTGGTTTTATTACATATTCTGTCCCTCAGTCGGCGTTGTCAGCTCGACAATACAATTCAAGCACATGCATCACAGGAATTGGGATACTCCCCGTGGCAGTTCGTTGTTCAGGGTTGAGTGCTCTTATTAATACAACGTCTTCTTGCTACCGTAGAGGAATACCCAAGCATACATTTGAGTTGCTTACGTAGGGAGTTGGCCCTGGTAAATTTACGACAAAGAGACGGCCTGTTTGAAGTCGCACATAACAGTTCAAATGAAGTATATAGACTCGGAAGTCCGAGCGCATTGTACTCGAAAGTCCATGAAATGTACTCGAAATGAAGGACGCTCCCTCGCTGGCATGGAGCTCGCTTTGTTTTCATTGGTAGTATGAGGCGAAATGTATCGCTCGAAATCCAACCATTACACTGCAATGTACATGTACTACTCGAATCGTATTGGCACGAGCTTTATAGCGGGTGCAATTACCAACAACTCCCAATGCAACAATTCCTGCATCATGTCGCTCATGTTCCGTTCAGCGTGTTCTGGTCCACAATGATCTGTTAGCCCACTCCAGCGCACTTGCTGGTACCCCTCCCCCCTGACAGGGTTCACCACGTTCAAAAACCCAATCGACAGCGACAAGTGCGCCCACGCCACTTTTTTGCGGATGTCCTCCTCGCTCGGGTTCCTCGAGTAGTACTCTGCGTCCCCAGAACGTAGCCCGTAGCCTCCAGCATCATTTCTCCGGACTCGGAGTTATAGTGCAGCGGTGTGGAAGGAGTACTCGCGTCAAAACTGGGCTTCACTTTCGACGACGGGATCTTCTTGCTCGTTTCAATGAGGAAGCGTACGAACACAGAGCGAAAGATGGAGATGTCATTGGTTGGAGACTTGGCATCTCTCACCATCACGTACGTGTTCGGGACGAGCACCACCACTAGTATCAAGAGATGAAGGCACCAGTAAACGATTCTGATCTCCGGCCACACTTCGGCTGTTCTCCAAGATAAGTTGAGTCAGTCTGAGGTCGGTCAGTGGGTGGAAGCCGAACTGTTCCGCTGCGTCGAGTTGATCTCGCAAGTCAAGACGCATGTGAAGTACCTCCTCGCCCCCTAGAGCTGGTTGCTGGAACTGCTGAGCCCAGTGAGGGCCCTCCATTTCCATGCACGACTGCAGAGCGCGAGAGAGATGAAGCTTCCACGCCGCTTGCTGCTGTATCTCCGACTTGAGGTACAAATTCTCAGCTCCGAGCCGTCTCGTCAACCCCACAGCGTCTGCGTAGTCAGATGCAATTCTGCTTCGAGCGACGAGAGCGTCATTAATTGACCTGTTCATGGTCCGTGCTGCACTTAAACTCAACTTTGTGTACTGCTTCTCCAACCTCGCAACCGTCAACTTCATTGTATTCAATGCTTCACGCTGCTTCTGACGAGATTTTCGCATCCATTCGCGATTCTTCTGACGCCGCACCTCAACAACACTTAGCTCCCCGTCGGAGGCTTTGGATGCTTTGCCTGCCGCACCACTTGGTGATGGTGGAGTGATCCAATCTTGTGCCTTGGGCTTTTGATCAGGTTGGGTAGTTGCCCAGTCTGCAAGGCCGAAGCTGCCGCCTTCACCAGCTGAAGACATCAAGCACTTCTGCTCTTCATCACTGCAGAGATCCAAATGGTTCACCTGGCCAGCCTGCTCGAACGGGCTCTCTCCACTAATCGTAGCAAATGGTCTCACGCGGGGATCGAACGGGGCTGCAACCTGGGATCTCGGCGTCTGCGGCGGCGTCAACTCGCCCCAGTCGAAGGTGTCGAGAACTTCGGAGATGTCCAAACAGCAATCGTCGGCTGCAGTTGAGCCCACCGGAGCCTTGGGTTCCCGTCTCATTGGCACAGCTTCTCTCTCGGGCACGTGTCTCCTTCACTGGTGGGGCTGGAACCGTAGCAAATGAGCTCGGATAAATCCGCTGACCCCCCAGCCCTTTGAAGGAGAATAGCACAGGTGTCTTCTGACTTTTTCTCGACTATCAAAGCAAAACTCGACGACGACCACTTCACTCTAACGACAGCGACACGAGGTTGACGGCGGGGGAGATGACCAGCAGCTCCCAGCGCAACATTCCCTGCATCATGTCGCTCGCATTGCGTTGCGCGTGCTCCGGCCCGCAGTAGTTGGTGCGTCCGGTCCAGCGCAACTGCTGGTACTCCTCCCCCGTGACAGGGTTCACCACGTTCAAAAACTCAATCGACAGCGACAAGTGAGCCCACGCCACCTTGTTGCGGACGTCTTCCTGTCTCGGGTTCCTCGAGTAGTCGGTATCGAAGCTCTGCGTGCTCAGCACGTAGCCCGTAGCTTCCAGTATCATATCTTCACACTCCGAGTCCGATTCAGTATACGGCGGCGGCATGGACGGAGCGCTAGCGTCGATACCGGTGGGCGCAGCCTTGACGGCATCCGACGCCGGGATCTTCTTGCTCGTTTCAATGAGGAAGCGCACGAACACAGAGCGGAACGTCGAGATGTCTTCAGTGGGAGACGTGACGTCTCGCACCAATACGTAGGCGTTGGGGTTCACCGTCTGCAGCACTTCGAGTCGAGACGTCTCGCCCTTCACCTTCTTGAACTCGCCCAGCCTCATGTCGTTCGCCCACGTCTTCTGCATGAGCTGCGCCACGTTCAAGCCGTGGAATCGCTTGGTGAGGACGCACTCCATGATGTTGTCGTGCACGCGCTGCACCATGTCCCAGCCGAACGTCGTGATCCTTCTCGTACGGGCGCCGTCGTCCGTATCGAGCGACGACGGGATCAACAGGCGACTGTGCACGCGCGACATGGTGCGGCTGTTCTCCAGTAAAACCTGCGTCAGCCCCAAGTCCGTCAGCGGGTGGAAGCCGAACTCCTCCGCCGCCTCAAACTGGTCGCGTTCATCAAGTCTCATGCGGAGAACCTCCTCTCCGCCCAGCGACGGCTGCTGGAACTGCCGCGCCCAACGAGGGCCGTCCACCTCCATGCGCGACTGCAGGATGCGCGAGAGGTTGAGCTTCCACGCCGCCTGCTGCTGGATCTCCGCCTTGAGGTACAGGTTCTCGGCGCCAAGGCGTCTCGACAGCTCCACCGCTTGCGCATAGTCAGTGGCTACTCGAGACACCACTGCACCCTCCTGCACGTTCGTCCTGCTCCCTGAGGTCGACTGCAAGCTCAGCTCCGCGTACAGCTTCTCGAGCCTGGCGACGGTGGCCTTCATACTGTTGAGCTCGTCCCGCTGGCGCTGTCTCGCGCGGCGCATGCACTCGCGGTTCTTCTGTCGGCGTCGGTCCATGGCGCTGGCGTTCGGGAGCTGGTCGCACTGGATCACCTGCTGACTAATATCGCTATTAGTCCACGTAAGTGGGGGTGGCGCCATGGGCGTGTCCATCATGGGCATGGCAGCGGACGTGAAGCCCGCGGAGTGCACGGACGCCCACATCGCGTCGATCTGCGAGCTGTTCATGGCAATGTGGAGGCTGAGACTGGTAGCTCCGCCTCCCGTCAGATGTCGCAGTGGTTCCTCGTCCTCGCCGCGGATTGGGCTCAGGCCGCTGCCGGTCCCCGACCGCAGCGTATGGACGCGAACGGCTGGGCTGCTGAGCGGACTGGCGCCTCGGATCGCGTCCATTGATGGCGAGAAGTCTGTAGGGGCGCACGAGCGCGGCGTGCAGGGCGGAGAGAGGTCCCGCAGCTCGTCCCAGGGGAGACAGTCGAGCAGCGCGTCCGTGTCCGACTGCCAGTCGTCCGAGGCAGACGCTTCCGGGGAGTTCGCCACCTCTCGCTTCACGGCGAGTGCGCGCGTGTCGTGGCAAATCGATCGATTGATCGCCACCCCGAGATATTGACAGTGGTGGCTGCAATACGCCCGGAACGGGCGGAAAGTCCTCCAGAACGCTTATCCTCCAGAGTCTCAAGACTCTAGAGGATAACGCACCCGATGGAATCGGATACTCTGATCTGGCTGGCGACATGTAGCTGCCGAGGTGGGGACTCAATGCGGCCCCATAATCGCGGTGATCGTGGGGCTGAAGCTCTGCAGGAAGCTCGCCAAGCAGCGTTGCCCCGCGCTTCAGTTTATCGACGCGCCGACGTCAAGAACTGCAACATGCGTCAGCGCGGTCGCGACGTCGTCGCGGCGGCAACTGCGTGGTGCTTCGTGACCGCAGGTCCACTGGATTGATGCCGAGGTCCGAGTTGAACTTGTCCGACGTGATCCCTCCGCCGGGTCGCGCGTCTCGCTGGACGCTTCCTCCTTCCTCCCCATGCCATGGTGTCGGGATTCCTGGCATGGACATGGTGGCCTGCCACCACGCCAAACACTCGATGCAGCAGAGCTCGGAGCGTGTGAGCTTTTGGTGGTGGTTGCTCCTGGGGCTCAATTGCACGAAAGAACGCGATCCGGTGATTACGAACGTGGCTTCGGTCCGAGCTGTACGGCGTCAAACACAGAGCTTCGAGCAACACGCACCACTGATGGTGGCGCGGGCCATTCCGTCGGCAAAGCGATGTGGTTGAAGCCCTGCAACTCAGTCTTACGAGCTCTTGGCTCTCTTGGCTCTCGGCTCTCGGCTCTCGACCACAGCAACTTCACTTTCATTATCCAAAAGAGCGACTTCCACTTACGCCTACGAATGTGTTAAATTATCTCAAGATCCACTCACAGCGACGCCGGTCCCGGTGTCGGTGCCGGTATCGGCGTTGACGGCGCGGATTCGGCGCTGTCATCATCGTCGTCGTCGGAGTTCGGGATGAGCTGCGCGGCCGGCGCGATGGTGCCGAGCTCCCAGCGCATGAGCGTCGTGACCATGTCGGCCGCGTTGCGGTGCGCGTCGAAGGGCGTGCCGTAGTTGTTCTTGCCGGACCACCGCACCTGCACGTACTGGTGCTCGCCCGTGACGCGGTCCGACACCTGCAGCAGCTCGATGGCGTGGGCCAGCTCGGCCCACACGAGCCGCGCGGACGGCTCGATGCCCGCGCGCTCCGGCAGCAGCTTGGCACCGGACGTGTCGGCCGGGTTGAGACTCTGCGTACCGATGACGAAGCCCGACGCGCGCAGACTCGAGTCCAGTCCGACCTCCTCGCCGGTCGTCTCCATGCGGTAGCGCAGCAGCGTGGTGCGGAACACGGGCGTCTCGTCGGGGCTGCGCACGTCGCGGCCCAGCACGTAGGCGTTGGTGTTGATCTCCTGCAGCATCTCGAGCCGCTGGACGTCGTACTTGACCATCTGCGCGCCCTTGAGCTGCATCTCGTTGACCCACGACTTCTGCATGATCTCCGAGACCGACAGCTGTTTGAAGCGCTTGGTGAAGACGAACTCCATGTCGCTGCCGCGCACGCGCCGCCGCAGGTCCCAGCCGAAGAGCTCCGAGTGGTCGATGGGGCCGCCCAGCACGTTGTCGGCCATCTCGTCGGCGCTGTCGCTGTCGTCGTCATTGTCGTTGTTGTCGGTGGTGCCGGTGCTTGGGCTGTTGTTATTGCCGCCGAACAGCTGGTGCTGCACGCGTCTCACCGAGCGCGTGTTCTGCAGGATGACATCCTTCACGTCGCGCTCCGTCAAGGGGTGGAAGCCGAAGACCGACTCGGCCTCCTGCTCGTTCATGAACTCGAGCTTGAAGGGGAACGGAGAGGGCGGCGCGGAGGCCGAGGCCGTGAACTCGTCCAGCGCCACGGTCGTCTCCATGACGCGGCGCAGCTCGAGCTTCCAGGACGCCTGGTACTGGATGGACGCCTTGAGGTACAGGTTCTCGGCGCCGAGCTGCTTGGACAGCTCCACGGCCTGCGCGTACTTGGTGTTGGCCGCGCTGTTGTTGTTGTTGCTGCTGCTGTTGTCGGCCTTTTCGGCGTCGTCCGCGCGCAGGCGCAGCGAGTTGTACTGCTGCTCCAGCTCGGCCACGGCGTCGCGCAGCAGCTGCAGCTGGTCGCGCTGCCGCTGGCGCGAGCGGCGCATGGACTCGCGGTTCTTCTGGCGCCGCATCTCGAGCGCCGAGCCGCTCTCGGCCTCCGCGCTCAGGTCCAGCACGGCCGTGGGGCTCTTCCAGTTGAGCCACATGGAGTTGATGGTGGACTGCGAGCTGGCGTTGGAGCTGTTGCTGCTGGCCGGCAGCGTGCGCACCGGCGTCTGGCCGGCAGTCGGCGTGTCCTCGCCGCTGCTTGGGCTGGTGCTGCGGCTGCTGCCGGCGTATGCCGGCGGGGTGGCTGTCGGCACTTCGCCGGCAGGTGTCGGCGCTGCCACTGCCGGCGCCCAGTTCGTCACGGGGTCAACGGTGAGCCGAGCGTTCGGCCACATGGAGGCAAGTTGGCAATTGCGCCTCGCGCCCCGGCGACATCATTCATGATGCAGGGCAGGCAGGCAGTGCCGTCTCCGTCAGTCGTGCCGGGCGGCTGTAACGCGTTGCACTTTGGCGGATTTGAGATTCAAGTGCGCAAACGGGTCGGGGGCCGGGAAAAAAAGAAGTCGGAGCGTGTCGCTGATTGCCGGAAGCGGGGGCCGCCTCACTTGAATTTGTAAGGAGATACGGACGAGAGGGACGTTCCATCGTCGCCAGAAGCGGGGGCTGTCGAGTCCGAGACCCCACATCTTTGGGCGCTTGCAGCAGATGCATAAATCCGGTCGCAGGCTTACGTTGAGTGCCGCAAAGTGGTCGATTATGAAGTCATATCTTCCATAAATTACGAATGCAACCTTCTAAAAATCAATTTAAAAAGCCCCGTCAGCCAATGAGATCACGCGTTAAATTACGAACCCAGCCGCAAAACGTTCGATTCTTGCTATTGCGACCATTATCACAACGCAAGTCTCCTCACGCAGCTTCGACCGCCGATGTTCCTGCCGTTCAAGCACCTCTCGGCCCGGCAGAGGTCCGTCCAATCCCCCTCATTTGACGCGGTTGCTCACCGCCTCATCAGTGCGGTGCTGGCGTTCTGACTTGGGCCTGCACAACTCAATTGACTTTCTTTATTTAGCGCCGGATACGCCGTGCTGTGCGTGGCGCTGGGGCTCGGCATCAAGTACATGGACGACCACATGCCGGAACCGGACCCGACCAAGGTCAAGGGCGACGCTCTAGTGCGTTGTGTCGGCTGGAAGTTGCCTGCCTGCCGGTAAGATAAATCAAGCTGACCCCCATGTGCCAATATCAATTTGTCCATCAGGCGTGGAGCGACCTGGACAACCAGGCAGATGCCAAGCGGAGGCGCCAATAGAGCGACACCAGTCATCACAAAGCGCCACAGGAAGATCGGGATAGCCAGCGTTTGCGAGCTGCAAGGCGCTCGCTCGCTGGTTCGCTCTTGAGATGTGACGCCATGTGTCTTCCCTTGTCGGTCACCTGGAGCGCTGGCGCTCGCGTGTCTCCGAGCGGAGGACATAAAGGTGCTGCTGCGTGTAGATGTAGACGATGCTGGCTGGCGCGGTGTGGTTGCAGCTCGGGGTACAGATCGACGCGTAGCCAGCGAAGATGTCATTGACTTGACACCTTGCTCTTGCTTTGCAGCCGCGTGCTTTCGCGGTGATGGCACAGATGATGTGAAGGCTAAAGCACAAACGACATGTCCCTACCCTCCGTTCATCATTTCGTCTTGCCCTCGATTTGTCTCGTGGCTCAAACACCCCACTGGTGCCAAGCCCTGCCTGCCAGTGGTGAAATTCGCTCCTGATACACCAACACACCTGACAGCAACAGACATGTACAAGGCCTTCCGGAACCTCAGCACGCGCGAGAGGTGTGTGTGTCTGTTTGTTTGTGAGTTGTTGCATTGATGGCGCCCCGACTCACTGTCTCTGCTGTGTACTGCCACGCCACGACACGCAGCGCCGGCTACGGCCTCCTCTGCGTCTTCTTCGCCAAAGGCATTGACTACATGGACAGTCACATGCCCGAGAGGCGAGCGCTGAATGCTCCGACTAGCGAACGGGTGGGTGGGTACTTCTCAACTCGACCGGATTAATGGATTAGTAATGGACTAACGATCTTGACTTCGATGAACAGGCTTGGGATGACCGAAACCTTCACGAAGCAACAGCCAAGAAGACGTCGTTCTAATAAACAAAATGGGGGTCAAGCCTGCTATTGTGTCGGCGGGTGTCCACGCCACACCTTGTCTGCGGTTCCTACGCCGTCGTCACGAGTTGTCCGATATATTTACCTAAAGAGACGAGCGAGCGCTTGGAGCATGCCGCGTGCTGATTTCCAGAACAATGCGCCGAACGCTGCAGACACGAAGGTCCAGTGTACATTAGTTAGCCGCCACAATGAATATACATGTCAAACCAAGAGTCAGCCTCACCTTTCAAGCTCGAGTTGCCTCCAGGAAAAGACGACAGCGCAAACGATCCCAGCGTCGTGAGCTGCATCACAGAGCTCAGCACCACGAGCACGTAGTTGCCGAGGATCAAACAGCTATACAGCGTGCACCCTACCATCAGCACCAAAAAGCACCAGTCCATTAGCAAAGCCTCCTCTCTCACCAACAGAGCTTCCATCTCAACTCACCGAGCGTCACGAAGTAGGCACTTGTCAACAGCAGCCTGTTGGCCTGCAACAGCCCCGAAATGTACGCCGCCGGGCCCTTGAGCATGGCGAACGCTCCCATGCAGCAAATGCTGCCCAGCGTGAAGCTCAGCGCGAACTTGGACGGCCGGATCATAATCTAAACCAACCACCAAAGAAACACACCCATGAGCACCTAAACATCTCCCTCTCCACCTTCCAGCAACACAGCACCAAGCTCACCAGCGGCAGGAAGATGGACGCCATGCCAAAGAACAGCATGCCCAGCATCACGAGTCCCACAAAGTACTTGAACCGCGTGTTCCTAGCCAACACATAACACAAGTCAGTACTCTCTCCACACCTCCACTCCTCTTCTCAACGCCGGCCTACTGACAGTACCAGCTCATGCTCGGGATCAGCCCCGCCTCGCTGGTCGAGTTCTTCCTCCAGAGCGGCCACTTGGCGACCGCTGCGTCGTCCACCTGCCCGTCCATCTGCCCGCTCTCCATCGCGTCCGCCGCGTCCTTCCCCGCCCCAGAGGAAGAGGAGGAAGAAGACGCGGGCGCCGCCACCGCGCTCTTGGTCAGGTCCCGCGCCGAGTCCCACGCCTTCTTGAGCGAGAAGCCCGCGCCCGCCTCGCTGTCCGCGGACGCCGTGGACGCCGTGGACGCCGTGGACAGCGGCGAGGCGCGCAACAGGCTGCTGAAAGCCTCCTGCGCGCCCTGCAGCCCGCCGCTCGCCGGCTTCTTGCCGCCCCACTGCTCCCACGCGCTCATGACGTCAGCTCAGGCTCTGACTCTGCCAGACGCTGGGGAAATTCCAGACTGGAAAAAAAAGCTTCTGTGTGCAAACGGGTCGGTACACTGTACCACTAAAGGGCGGACCTTTGGTGTGGCGGACGTAAATTTAAGTCACGGTCACTTCGGCATTCGCGGTTGCATTCTTATCGTTGAGTTTTGTTAGCACAAGTAGCAGTATTTGTCCCTTATCCTACCGTCGGCCCAGCATTTCTCGCCAATTTCTTGCCTACGACGAGCGCAAGACGTTCGCAGTTGCGTTCTACCAAGAAATACGAGATGGAGGCCAGCGCGTACACCAGCACGAGTCTCACTGCGAACTGATCCATTCGCTCGAGCTCCTTAATCCAAGGCTGGAAGTTGACGAACGGGTGCAGCAAGTAGATGGAGAAGCTGATCTTCCCCGTGTAGCACAGCACGTTCCACTCGAGCGCTCGAGAGAGGGCCGAGGGCATGAGAACTTCGATTACCATCACAGTCGAGAGCGGGATGCTGACCGAGGGCACGATCTTGTCCTGGCAGGGGAACAGGTGCCCGATCAACGTAGTGGCCAAGTATCCGCGAGAGACGTCGCTGACTATGGTGCTAACCATGGCCAGCTCGAGCGCTCGAACGGCAACGACGTGCTGCAGCAGCGGTTCAAAGCGACGTTCCTTCATCCATCGGTCCAGCTTCGAGTAAACCAGAGCAGCGAGCGATCCCGCCACAAACGTCGACAAATGGGGGCGGAATTCCCCGTGGCCCGTTCGATTTGTGTGCCAGCCTTCGTAGTATACCCAACAGTAGAGCACCCCCACCACGAACCACTTCAACTTGCCCAGCAGACAAACTCCAACAAGGACGAATGGGATCAAGCAGTAGTACGTGATCTGGATGGACGTTGTCCAGAAGAGGTACCAGCGTTTCTTGAACGTTAGAATGTCCCACACACTCCAGTGTTTGATGTTGTAGTGGGCCAGGTTGTAGTAGCGTGTGCGCGTGGCTTCCGGCATGCAGGTAAGAGCGAACGCTGTCAACGCGAACAGCGGGTACACGCGCAGGAACCGCTTGACTGAGTAGTGGGCGAGTGCAATCAGCCAGTTGCGAGCGCCTTCCTTGCGACTGACCAAATTGCGGACTTTGGGCTCGTTGAGCGCCGTCAGGAGGAATGCCGAGAGCACGAAGAACGTGTCGACGCTGCTTGGAGCGATCGTCGCCTCCAGTAAGTAGCCCGCGTGGTGGTGGACGACCAGCAAACAGGCTAAACCTCGCAGACCCGTGAGGAACTTCAGCTTGACTGGAAGACTTGGCTCCCTCTTGCGACGGTATTTCTCGTCCGTTTCCGATTCATCGGTCGCTTTTGTGCCCTCGTGGACGATTAAAGCGGTGTCGCTATCGATAAGATCCAGCTTGCAGTGCGGCGAGTTGTCGCTGTCGAGTTCATATTCGTGGGTCGTAGTAGCACCTCGACAGAGCTCGCTCTTGATCTCCGTCCGTATAGCACCTTCCCTCAACGACATCGTACAATTGCTTCGGGGCAAGTTGGGGAATGAGTTCCTTCCGTTTTGACGGACGACCTCTGGGCATAAGAGTGGTTACAGGATCTCTCTTTTAGATGTTGTGCTAAGACTTTCTTTTGATATCATGCATGCGACCTAGTTTTCTTTTTATTTTATTGTGCGAATGTAATTACTGATAGTTGAGCTGCAATCTTCGTCCAAGAAGACATGCATCCACGCGCTACATCGCAAGTCAAAAAAAATCGTTAGGATCCACAAAACGCATTCATTGCAATCCAAGAACGGAGCGGGAGCTCGGACGACTACAACGCCGTTCGGTAGCTGCCGACAGCCTGATTTGAACCTGGCTACACTGGAAATGTCTTGCTCCGCATTTTACAGTAGCTATTTCTTAGTGCAGAAGCACCGAGAATGCTAACTGAGCCCGAGGGAAAGTTGAAGAAGAAATGAGGACCAGCAGTAGTGAAAAAAAAGATTACAGTTTATCCCAGCGGTCAGTGGATCCAACAGTTCAGCCCATTAGGCATGTAAATTATGATGCATGTACGAAAGGCTCTAGTTTTAACGATACGTTGCCATCAGACCGTACAATTTCGTCAAGCAGAAGCGCGATGCGCTGCGAGTTGCTGGATACGTGTAATTTTGCGGTGATATTCAGATTCATAAACTGACCAACAACAAAAAACTATGCAGTAACTGCGGGTTGACAGACAGTGTGAGGTTCACATCGATAACGAAAGCGTCTTGAGACGGGCTCATAATATATTAGCTGTCTCGAGCCTGATTATTTGTTGGCACGATACGATTACGCCTTCCTCATCGCTTGTTATCCTTGCTTTTCTTGTTCCTTGAGAGCCCGAACTCTCACTCCGCTTTTAGCCTTCAGCACCCAAAGCCCTTTCCATCTCAGAATGGCTCACAAGTCCAAGCAGCGTTTGCGTCTTCAACTCGCCGTCTTGCTGGCAGCTTTTGCTTTGCTGGCACTTATTGGCAGTGTTTCGGCGGTGTCCTCGAAGACGTGGGTCGACCGCTCTCTACGATCGGACAGGAGTCTGAGGAGAAAAGGAGCCAACAACCTCCTCGAAGTGAGGACAACCGGATTGATAACCCAAATCACAAACGCCGTAAAACAATCAAGTGCTGACAAGCTCTTCACCAAGTACAAAGTGAACCAACTCGAGTCGAACCTGCTCGCCAATGCTGAATTCCAAACATGGGCCAGAGCGGTGATCAATGCCAACAAGAAGAACCCCCAGCTTGCGGACCAGTTCATCGCATCAACGTTGTCATCTCGCATCGGAGATGGAGCTCTGGCCAAGATGCTAGCGGCGGCGAAGAAAGATAAAACCTTTGAAATCACTGCGAGCGGCTTGGAGGCAGCTCAGCGCATGAACCGGCTGGAAAAGGACAGACTGGTGCGCGAGGTGTTCACACTGCTCAAGCTTGACCAGGAAGAAATCGTCAGCCCGGTATTTGATACTTGGTTCAGCTACGCAATGCTGAATGCGGACCCGGGTGAGAAGGTGCTTGGCACGCTGCTGAGGCACTATAACTTCGAGATTCCTGTGAGTTTGCTTGCGGCCGGGTATGCATCTAAGTCACTCAACGCGCAGTTGTTTACCCGGAAATTGGTCAACTATCAGTTCGATAGGTGGAGATACAAAGGGAAAGCAAAAAAAACGAGGAGGACCTGTTCGCGAAACTGGGGTTGTTGGGAACTCCCCTAGACGATCTGCTTGGAAGCCCCAAGTTCGGTCTTTGGGTGGCTTACCTTGAGAGGTACAACGTTCTCAGCTCTGGGAATCTCTTTGCCATTAAAGTGTTGAGGAACCAGTTCGAGGACAAGGAGCTCGCAATCGAGCTTTCTGCCGCAAAGTCGGAAGCCAATACCAAGGAAGTGCGAGAGCTCGCCGCCGCCCTGCAGCTGTTTATGGCCTGGAAAAGTGGGCGCTGGGTTCCTTCATTTATCTCATTCTTACTTCTGGAGGAAAGTAATGCGACGTTAAAGGCAGTTCGGGGAATTTCGAGGCCTTTCTGAACGCTGCCCCAAATGCGGTCTGGTGACTCCCCCCTCGTAAACCGAACTTACAATGACCTTCGTATCCTGACTAATATCGGGCGCAGCATAGTAGTGGTAGTAATGATTGGCGGTTCGATAGAACTGAGCGCTGCGACACCAACAAACTCCCTCTACATATTTAAAAGACCACGGCGAGCTTAGATCGTTTAGATTTCCTAGTACTACAGTAGCAGGCCGAGAAAACTGGTAAGCGCCTTCAGCCGGGCTGATCAATTACTTTAGCTTTGGCATTTTTCATGTATTCCCGAGAAGTTTCGCCGCTCATTTGACTCTTAGAGGCCCTCACGTCGTTTTGTAGTTATTTATTTGCGACACCACCAACAGCTTACCTACACGTGGCCGCGGGTGAGGTCGGTGGTGTCCACTACCGACGTAGGTGGAGCTGCAGCAGTGTGCGCCTCCGTGAGTAAGGTAGCCAAGCAAACCGCAACAAATACAAATACAAATACAAATACCAAGACTGGCTGACGCTGCCTTGTTGCTACTACAAAACAGTTCATTTCATGACTTTGGTAAGATCCCATAATGTATTGATTGTCTACTCCCTCGCGTCCTCCGACAACGCCTCGGTGCGGAGCATGTGTGCGCGCTCGTCGTGCACTGCTTCGCTCGGAGGCGTCCTCAGAGGACACGACAGGGTTCGTGGGCCGCACTACCGGAGGAAGAGGGGCTCTATTTGGTTATGCATTAACTAGAATTCACTATAAAGCCCTGAACGTTTTGTTTGTCAAGCTGGGCTAATGGTTCGGGTGCATTTATTTCTTAACCATTCTCAAACAAGCGTGTACATTGTAGTTGGCAGTAGGGCCGCACTACCGACTACATGTTCGTGCTTGTGAGCGCCTTATTTCGTCGGCTCGACTGTAGGTGGCACGAGCAATTCAAAAACGGCAAAGCGGTTGTCCTCGGGTTCCTACATGCTCAACGGAGGAACGCACGCAACGACACTATCCTCTGAAAGTTTTGGCCAATCGCATGGTGCAAATTGTTGTCCGACAAACTGTCTTACGTTTTGACGGACAAAATACAATGTAGCCACTGGTATACTAAAACCAAGATGTAGCCAAAATGCGTTGATTGCAAAACGTAAGACGCTTTGTCTTACGGTAGGCTCTCTGGGGCTAAGTATCGTCTTACGAAAGATCATCAATCTGCTTGGGTAGATCATGGATCCGCATTATCAATAGAGTGTCATGCATTTGGTTGGCCTCTCATGAGCCTGCAGTCGCCACTATTTTGTCTTTTTTTCTACATGTATCGTAAGGCATTTTACAGCTGACGATAAAGATCATGTATATGGGTTTCGCATGACTTCTACCTAGCTTTCACGCCTATTCTGAGGTCTACCGATAGCATTCTTGCGGAACTTACTGGTGGGACTTAGTAAAACAAGACACAACCGACCACTGCTCATAGCGAAGACTCAAGCCAGCTCCCCGCATACTTACACCCGAGATAGCTACCGTCTTCCCTCGGACTAGACGCCTAGGCGTTCTAAAAAAACTAGACGCCTAGGCGTTCTATTCAAGTGAAACTGCGAAACTCTGAAGGATGCAAAAGGTAGGCGTTGTATTCAAGTAAATCTAAAAAACCCGAAGGTTGGTAGTGGCCTCTAAGCTATATCCGCATTCCTGCTACGTGCAACGCAAACTGAGGGCCCAGTCGAGCAAGGCATATCTTCCCAGTTGCCTCAGGAACAGTGTAGGTGAACTCGGAAATCACTTTGCAGTTGTCGTTCAAAGTTTTCACTTCAATGCTGCACCTGTGCAATCTGGATGCTGCAAAAAGCTCCAACTCACCCCATTCAGCAGTTCCGTTTCTGATCGACTCAATGTAGTCGTGGTCAAGTAAGCCTGTCAAATCTTCAAGTCCTGCCATGAACTCCGTCAGCAGCGTGATGTAGTCGGCGATGGAGGGTGCGAGGCTGAAACGGAGGCAACGATGAAGACTTGATTTAGTCTCCTCCGGTAGATACCACTCAGGTGGGTCAATGCAAACCTCTTCTAGATCAGCTTCTTCGTCAAGCAGAGCCTTGTATCTGCGGTGCCATTCATCCAAATCAATACTCGCCTCCAACAGCTCGCGAAGCGGAGGGTGGAGGTCTTCCACATCAAATGACTGTCGTTGAACAAGGCCACAAACTCGAAATTCTTTTTTGATGTCGGTGGCGTCCTTCATCTCAATCCAGTCCAGAACGCATTGAGATACCGTTCGATAGTGAGGAACCTTAGGGTTACCCTGCTTTGTCTGCAAAGTTGGATCGATCAGCGCTTTGCCTATATACTCGTCGAATCGGTCGTTGTAGAAAGCTTGAACGCTCCTGTTTAGAGCCACATCGAGCGGTTGGAGTAGATTTTCATGATCGGCGGTACCAATAACACGAAGATGTTAAACGACGAAGGTTTTGTTCATTGAACAAATTCACGTGACATCCATACGAATCAATGATGTAAAGCACTGACTGCCGATAAAATCGAGTCTCCGCTCGGCCGCAAATTACATGTTCTGCATGCTCCAGCAATATCTGATCGTTCCACATCCCTGTTGGGTTAACATCAACCATGATGTCCTTCGAAATAGCTCCAAGTTTTGGCTTATTTTTTTAGCTGGGAGAAAAGCACATGGGGCTTTAAGAATTTACCGTCTCCAGTAACCGCGAACGTTGCTGTAAAGCGTTTGTGGCTGCCCCCCTTCCGCGAGTTGCGATCGTCGAATTAGGTTCCGTTTCAAAATATCTTGGGACCTGGTCCATGTTTATTATGTTGCATGGATCGATGTGATGCTGCTCAATCAGAGACTGAGCTTTCTGAATGAACTCCTCGCACACACTCTTGGCATCAGCAGGTAGTGTTCGGGTAGTCGTCTGACGCCTCGACACCAAGTTGTAGCGCGTCTTAAACTTGTCTAGCCAACCCGTTGAAGCCTTGAAAAGATGATATTGCTGCTCTTTAAAGCCACGAGGATGTTGAGATTTGTAGCTGGATGTACTTGTCCTTGACCCGCAGTCCCTTTTTGTTTCGCCCATCGACCCACTCATGAAGCTGCACTTCGAGTTGCTGGTATTCATGCTTGCGACCCGCACCAGGCAGTCGACGCATCGTCCGCGTTGATCGCTGTCTGTCCTTCGCAACGTCTTTCATGGCGCCCAACTGCTCAACCCATTTCCGAACTATCGATGACGAGGGTATCTTGTGTTTTGCGGCAAGGGCGGCAAACCCAAAGCCGTTGACACCCTTCTTGTACTCTCCAGCAACACTGCGCTTGAATCCGATACTGTAGCTATTACGCTTCTTCTTAGCTGACATTCTTAGCGGGGGCTTTTGTGTCGCTGGAGGGCGATTGTATAGTGATACGACGAAACGAGAGGCCGACTTCCGCACGAATGGTTGGCAGTCGGCACAAAGGCTCTGGCTCGTCCAACTGACAGCAGAATTGTTGGCAACAAGGATCTCGGTCATCATATGCCATTTACAACATGTGCTACATTGGGTAGGCGTTCTATTTTGCTATAGCTTCAATTCGAGGGTGAGATAAGATTTGGGATTGTGGACCAACCTCGAATACAACGCCTAGGCGTCTAGTACGAGGGAAGACGGTAGCTACAGGCAGGCTACATGTATGGAAGTCGTTCATTGTACGTTAGTATTGTACCAACGTTTGTCAGTACTGTTGCGCCTGTCCTCGCTCCCCGCTGCAGTTAGTGGTAAGCCCGCTGTCGATATCACCTCCCGGTTTAGTTATAATGGGGTTGCCAAAAAAGGAGCCATTTTGAAGACGGGCGAAGTCTTTATGAAGAAGTTTGTACGGAGTGATTGATGATCGAGGTAGGAAAGTACTCATTCCCATTTTGTACCACACCCATTATAACTAAATATGGTAGGTAGTCTTTGATGATCCAAACTTCATTTTTTAATTTTAATTCACTTTTTAACCCTGTCGCGGTAAAAGGATACAGAAAGCGCCCTTTAGATGATTTTCCAAAACACGGTAGAGTGTACCCCCTCTTAAAGGGCGCATCCTGTGCCCTTTTGCACAAGTTCAAGCTAGTAATCAACCTTCTTTTAAAACAAATCATAATCGGTACGCAGAGTAATCATCATGTAATCATTAGAACTCAAACCGTGTAGGTGATCTATTCCGAAATTCGTTGTTGTATTTGTGCCCACTCAGAGATTTGGTTCGTTGCAAAGTGAAATGGTGGGGAAAGCAACAAAGCAACGGAGATTTGATATTTCCGAAGTCACTCAGTATTTTACGACCATACTCGGTTCTAATCGAGTGCATGGCACACACAAAGTCGCTTAATCTCTTCGGGTAGACTACTTAGACTCACTTATTTAAGATGCTGAACACTGTCGCGTCATTATCATCCCTCCTGCACCTGCTCCTTCGATGTCGCGACGGATGCGGAACATGCTGCGGATGAGGACCGCAACGCTTGCGGTCACGCTTCTTCGCATCGAAGCTCGCGGCAGGCTAGCAGCAGACGCACGCCGTGCAGGTTGGGCTTCATTGAGCTGAATTAACCAGGCAACTGTCGACTGCTTCTTCGCGGGGCGCTCGAGCTCCACTGTATGCAGCCATGTCGTTTGTTAGTTAACCAGGCTACTTAAATACACAAGTGGACTCGGCGCCACTGCCGGTGATGTCGAGATCGGCGCCAAGTAAGGCCAGAAGTGTCCAGTTTGACCGACAA